TAAGCAAGGATAAAAACTACTTACTAGATACATATATACAATATATATTAGTGTATATACATACATATATACGTGAAGGCATCCATATGTTATATAAGTCCAAGCCAGTTAACCCAGTTAATTTTGATAAGCATTTTATCCATTCAATTAATTCTCATCATTTTTCACTCTCCACACAAACGTAATAACAGAAACCAAACCAATAATTAGCTCAATATACGAAAGTGAAATCAGAATGAAGGTAGCGCTTTTTTTCGGCATGCCGAATATAAAATTCTCTTGCAGATATATTTGAAATCGATTGTACCTCTGGAAAGCAATCATTATAATCCGATTTAATGTAATTAAATTTTTAGACAAATCCTCAAGACAGATAAACAAATTTTTCCTTTAATTTTATTACATTTACTCAACACATTTGTAAACTTCTGATCAATAATATTCTAGTCTCTTTTATTTGAACGAATACGTCCTGTGAGTGAACTCAAATGTCTGCAGGGGCAAATAGAAAAGAAAACAATTTCAATTACGAATAGTTATATTATGATCTAAATACACACAAGCATATACACACACACAAACACACATACACACACACACCTACAGAAAAGTATTAGAACACGTGCAATTTAATTTTTCAAGCGTCAGCAACAAACAATTTTTTGACTAGTTATAAAATAACAAAACACAAAATGAAACAAAAATAAAAACATGTCATGAGATCTATAAAAAGCGCAAAGGGAAAGCTGCGTTAATATCGCAATGGGGTTAAAGAAAATCCATGTAAATTATGCGTACAACAATAAAAGATAAACAAAGGAAGAGAAAAACTAATTATTTAATAAAGCATAACAAAGATATAAATACATATATATGTATATATTACATACATATATAAAAGTAAATACGCCGCAGCAATTAACATATAAAAAGAAAAAAAGCAGAAGTAAAAAACAAAAAGTTGTTAAGATTCTAAAAGTGAAATGTTTTATAAATAGTTAAACCAAAACAGAAAAGCGAAACAAAAAAAAATATTATATATTAAATATAAAAACAACAGAAACAACAAAAAGACACAACCACAACAACAATGCCCCAAAAAACAATAAGCAACAACACAACATAGAATACAAAAAAAGTCTAAATACAACATGAGCAAGCACAAAATTTACCGTTTGACTTTCAACAAATCTCAATAAATTTTTACAAGCCATATTAAATTGTAAGCGAATCGGATCCAAAATTTAGCAGAATAGAAATGAAATAAAAGCAGATCAAATCTTAGTACAACACTCTCTCACATATACAGACAACATACACACACACACACACATACACCGACACAGACAGTGGCAGACACACGTTACTTTATGAACATAAAAGCAAATTAAATGAAAAGTATATAAAAATAAATTATGCTAAAAAGAACAACTTACAAAAATACAACTCAAATTGCAAAGAATGACTTTCATTTTGCTATCGTTTATACGTAAGTCCTATACGCTGATCACTCTGATGCGAATTGTTAAGCAATGATCACACAAATGTGCCTATCTGCATCAGTTCCTCAACTGGCCACCTCGGAGTATTGAAAAATATGAATCAAGACTGATGGGTTTCATTAAGAAGAAGAACGAGAACGCAATTCACAGCTTGATGTATATTATACATTTTTCTAAATTTAGAGGCGCATAAAATTTTTGGACACACATTTTTATTGTATAACTCATTTTTTAGGAATTTTTCTTTTCAGATAATAAGGAATAGGTGGAAAATATACTTTAATAAATGGAAAATAATAAATTCAAACTGTCTTCTATTGCGTTTACTTTGGGAAAGTAACCAATATTAAGTTATGCCTAAACATTCATATTCAAAACAAGAGAGAACGTTGCAGTCTGTCGTAACCGACCGTGAAATACTCTGTGAAATTCTCTGACACCATCTGATAACAGGTGTCGATCTTTAAAGGAAGTTCCTAATAAACTATATTCCAAGTTAGCCATTAAAATTGTGGTAGATATTGGCTTTTAGTCGTTTTGGGGAGGCCACGCGATAAAAATTGTTGATGGGATTTTCTAGTAATATTTCTTCGAAGTCTGGTAACTGCAGCTCTTAAATTGCGGGAGATAAAAGCTATTGAGAATTTTAGCTCTAAAAAATGTTTGACGATCTTTTATATTTTGTTGTTGACAGGAGTGGGTGTAGTCCAACAATATACCTTTCAAATTTGGTGACTCTATCCTTAACATTATGAGATATATGGTTTTATCGATTTACACTAACAGGTGTCTCGGCTTGGAGAGGCGAAGTGGACGTGACCAGCAAAATACTTTCAAAATTTTAATGACCTTAGCTTACAAATTATGGATGCAAATTGTGGTGCCAATCTTTGAAGGAGTTATTTTTTCACTTTTGGTGACTCTATTTTTAAAATTGTGGGAGATATGCGGTCTTATCGATTTACACTTTCGGAAATATCCACTTTGATGATTATGGGCGCAGGTAAACATTTTTTATCGATTCTTAGCGGCGACTACCAGTAAAATATCTATCAAATTTGACGGTTCCAATTCAAAAACAGCGATGTAGCCATTGCCATTTCAAATTTGTAAGGGCGAGAAACCTGGGGGCGGCGGAGGTGGGCCGATCATATGCCGATCTTTAAAGGACATAACCAATTACCTACAAACCAAATTTGGTGGCTGTATTCTTCAAAATGTGGGAAATATGTGGCTTTTCCTAGGAGGGTAGGACGTTGGACGTAGCACTTCAATTTTTACACTTTGGCGCGGTCATAGATCAGTATATGTTCCAAGTTTCAAGTCTTTGTATCTAAGGGCGTCGAAAAAATTGCGTTCATGCAGACTGATATCGAAGGTATCAGAATGAGGACGCCAGTTCAATTTAATAATACTGCAACATACTTTTATGGCAGAGTAATAAAGTCAATTGTGATTAATAATTAAGAATTAAGTTTTAAGGCATACTTTCAGGCTGAAATGCAGGGAATGGTACAATTTTTGAAAAATGACTTTAGCTCGGCAATATTCTTACAGATTTTTGAAAGTTAAGGTGCGTTAGAATCATAAGGATGAACTCTATCAAACTGCATTCATCGAGCATCTAAGAACCCATCTAAGAACCCATACTCTTGTAGGAACTTCATTGCAGGGCGAACGGAACCAATTTGATATCAGAAAATCATTATTCTTTACATTGTCGTCCTTGTTTAGGACATTCCTTGGCCAATGGGTAGCACTGGTCAAAATAAAGTGTTAGACACCAGTATCTATGAGAATTTGACCAAATTTTAAGCAATTTTCTGCTCTAACAAAAGTCTATTTATTTCAGCCATTTGAAATAATTTAGTCCATTCTATGTACTTTAGTCGGAACGGCAGTCCCAGCATTGTTCGTAGTCCAAAGGACATCCGGATAGTCCTTCAAATTGTCTTATTACGTCGGCTTTTTCGATTTTTCTCATATTCCCTGTGGAATTTTTGCCAAAATTTCCAGAACTTTAAAAAATAAACTGCAACTTTGCCGAATTCTTACATTCGAAGGATGCAGTGCGTTAGAATCACATGGACAAACGCTATCGAACTATATTCAACGAAAATTTGATCATCTTGTTTGTTCCACAAAAGTTAGCTATTCAACGAAAATTTGATCATCTTGTTTGTTCCACAAAAGTTAGCTATTTTAAATTTACGTCAAATAAAAAAGCAATTAAATTTGTAATAAAATTAATATAATATATGGAAATGAAATGAAAATAACAACTTAATAATGTGTCCAGTCGATTTTACATCGATTCAACTACTATTTAGAACTCAGATAGATTGATTTTGGACCGTTTCTTAACGACAGCCTTCGTAGCTACTCAACTGTCTCAAACTGTCGATTACCTACTTAAACTCGAAGGCACAGGATTCCCCACATGTTTTCTATGTGATTCAGGTCGGGTGGTCTTGCTGGCAACTCTAAAAGCTTAAAAGTTTTATCCTGTTGGAAAAAGGCATTTGGGTCTGGTTGGCGCTCCATAAAGTTCACCAACCCTCCGAGCTCATACGGTTTGAAATTTTACAAATCAGGGTCCTGTTGTGATGACTGAATGCAGCCCATATCAAGAATGAAGCACCGCCATAACTTCGAGTAGGGAAGAATCTCTCAGCCTTTTTTAAATAATGCCTGTAGTAATTTAAACCATTTCGACCGTCTAAATTACATTTTTTCTTATCTGAAAAAACCACATTTCCACACTTTTTTCCAGACATATGCTTTTTTTTTACCAAAATTCAATCTGGCTACTTGGTGTGACATCATTAATGCTGGCTTCGACTCAATTTTCTTGCAAACCAATCGATTACTTCCTGACAAAATTTGTTGAACACGACGTTGAGATACTTGTAGCCTTAAATCAATCAAAATTGTAGATGCCGTAGCATTTTTAAGCCGCCCAGCAAGTAAGATTACTGATTTAATTAGTAATTTAATTGATATTTGCCGGTTGCTCATTCCAGTATCCTTGTATGCCAGTATCTTAGCTATTTGCTCAGGTGAGAGTGTTTTTCCCCTTCCCATTTAAAATTTTTGTATGCAATTAATCTATTTTAATCTGTGGCTTTGTGTTAAACATTATATAAATATGTATACTTTATTATCGCATTCACTTTTCCAAAGGCTTGAAAGTGGCTGCCTATATTCGAATTTTGCACCCAAACTAAAAAAAGGAAAAACCGCAAAAACTTGCATTCCAGTGCATCAAAACAGTGTAAGAAGAAGCATCGTTATAAACTGAGTAAACAAAGTCCAGTTAGGAGTGCAAGGGGCACTCGAATTTCGCGGAGTGTATATATATATTTCCCGAGTAAAACCCATCGATCAAATTCATTTAAGCGGCAACATCTCTCAACAAGTCCATAGATGCTTTCTGTAAACCGAAAAAACAACCTCTTCAGTCTTGGGCCCGTCAATGGTCTTAAGATCGTGTTTCTGATTTTCTTAATATGCTAATAATTTATTTTAATGCTCACATTATAAACTTAGCAGCTAAACTAAAGGTGAATAAGACTCGTGTCAGCAGCACAATGCTGTTGCATGAATTTCAAATTCCATTAAACGGTTATTTACAGTGCAAGGAGAAGTTGAAATATTGTTTTTTTTTTTTTTGTTTGGTACGACGAGTTCAACCTACCGACAAGGACACTTGATTGTTCATTTTTTTAATTGCAGGCAGGCGATGCTCGCCGTTCGAAAACGCTGATCAGTTCCACTGTGCGGCGTCTCTCAGATAGTCGATATCACATAGTGTTTACTTATATGTAGCTGGCTACCCTCCCCCTACTTCCCCTCGCGGCCAACCCACAGCCCGACAGCTCAGGGATTAGGCTGCATGCGTGCGCGTCGCAAGGACTTCGTCGCCCTGTTGCCTTTCGCTTTGGACGCGGCGGAGGAGGAGGAGGAAGTGGAGGAGGTGGGCGGACGAAACGTGGGCAGATCAATAAAGATCGGACGATACTCGGGAGCCTCGGGCCGCATCGAGCGCGATTCCGACAGCAGCACATTTGTGTAGTAGTTGAAGTCGCCCTGCTGCGGCGGCTGTTGCTGTTGCTGTTGCGACTGCGGCTCGCTACTTGACAACGTACGCTGGGAGGCGGAACGACCACGGGCCGCATCCGAGCGCAGTAGCCGAAAGAGATTACGACGTGCGGCCTGATCCGTTGTGTCCTGCGTGTCCTGCACGTCCTGAGAGTTGCGACGCTGCTGACTGCTGCCGTTAAGGAAAGCCGCCTCCTCGTAGCGCGGTATGTAGCGGGGCTTGCGGGACTCACCCCGCTCGTGGGGGGTCACATTGAAGCCAAAGAAACGCGGCGCCTGCACCGAAATTAATGGCAGCAGCGTTTCCCGTGCATAGCGCTCGGCACGCTGCAGCAGCTCACCCAGGCGAAATGGCAGCAATTGCACTGTTTGCGGCTCCTCTGCACCGCCAGCCAACTGTGCCATCATTTTGGGTGGATGTGCAGCACCGGCGACAGCAGCAGCGGGAACTGGAGCTGCAACTGGAGCATCAGGTGAGCCCGTTGTCGTGGAATTGCTGTTACCCGGCTCGGGCAGTTGAAGATCCTTGCCGTGCTTAGCTCTCGGCGTGGTCGCCTTCAACACCGGCTCAACAATCTCCTCCGTGGTGGTGGCATATTCGTGTAGATTGCGTCCACGATTTAGAGCCAAGCGGCGGTCCTTGAGCACCGGCTCAAATATCTCATCGGTGGGTGCACTGAGCGCGTCGGACAGGCTGCGACTGGACTCGGCCGCCTCCGCCTCGTTGTTGTCCTTGTCGAGGGAGTTGCCGACGAGTATGGGCTGCCATGGCAGCTCGTCTGTTTGGGTCAGCGGATAGGTTTGATTCTGCGACAGCTTGAAGCTGGTGCCCAAATTGAAGATGTTCTTGCGCTGCTTGACGCTCTCGACGCCATCAACGTTGGTGCTCAGGCCCGACTCCTGCACGCTCGAGTCCGCCAACGGGGTATCTGTGCTAGGCGGCAGCGAAGCCGGCGCTTGGGTGGTGTAGGCACCATAATCATCCTGATTGTCCAGCTCACAGTTGCCCGCCTGCAGGCGCATGCGGACGGGACTGCCGCTGCTCAGCTTGGTGCTGGGGCGGCACAGCGAATGGCTGCGCCCAAAGCTATCTGTCAGCACCACCTTGTCGATGTCCCAGTGGGGCAGGCCCTTCGACAACCACCCACTGTACGACTTGTAGTGTAGGCTCAACGTCGTGGGGAAACCCAGCGCCGGATGCGGCACGATAATCTTCGACACAATGTCGCCAGCGAAGAACTCAGCATCGTCCTTTCTGTAAGAGTACAAAATCAACTTTAAATTTTCGGCATATGTTATCGGATACAATTAGTAAATGCAGCTGTTGGATCTTTTTATCAAAAAAATAAAATAAAATATATATTGATATCCTACACAAAGCTTACTTAAATACGTCTTTTCCAACTGATGACGCTAAAGGAAGAAGTTTTAGGTAAAGTTCAGTTTAAACGGGAATGCAAGCCCCTCCTTCTCCACAGTTTGAATTTAAAAAAGCAGTTAAAAGAATTTGCTTTCCTCCACAAATCGAGAGTCTATTCATAAACGCTCCTTTCGCAATAGCCCCCTAATCGGGTACACTCGCATCACGTTAGACTTTTATTTTCCACTTAAAACTAGCCTTCAGTATTCGGTGCAAAGTTGGCTTAACTCACTCGGATATTTCGAAGGTCTCGTTGAGACCGCCGTCGCCTTCGAGTATGGCTTCTAAGCGGCCAATGGTGCGCAGCGGCAGATCGTTGAAGGAGTTGAATATCTGCAGTTGGAACTGGTGGGCACAGAAGGGCTCCTCATCGCGGGTGAGCAGGTAGAGCTGGCCGCGACCTGTCGATCTATCCGCATAGTAGCCCATATTGCCGCAACGGGGAACGCCCTCGGCCAGGTCCTCGTCATCCTGAGCACAGGGAAAGCATTTACCCTTGAGGAAGTCATCGTAGCTAGCGCAAGGGAACGCGGGAAACATGCAGCGTGGCGCCACCGAATCGATGAAAAACTTGTAGGCGCGCCGATGATTGCACAGCGAGCGTCCCTCCTCGTCCTCCGCAGCCTGGGCAGCTGCAGATTGGTTACCAACATAGTTAAAGAAAAAGTCTTGCTTATATACATCTAATATATATAGATCTTACACCAAATAAAATCCGTGACTGCGCCCACAAAAAGATTTGAGCAGCCGGTCTGCACACGTCCTCCATTCGGATAGTAGTCAACATGGCCCATGGGCTGCCAGGAGCCCAAACCACCCAAGATGAGATTCTCGCCATTCGAATGGATGACATCAACAAACTCTGCATCGCTGCTGTCTAGTCGCACCTTCGGATGCTGTGCCTCAAACAGAGGTCCCGCCGGATCCAAGCCCGTTATGCGCGACAGGCCGGGCAGCTCGGCCCCCGCAAAGCCAGAGACATGCGCTCCCAAGCTAAAGCCAATGACATGGGTGCGCATCAGATTGAGCCCCTTGTGCTTCTGCAGATGGCGCAGCAGCATTGCCAACTGTTTGCCAACCAGTCGTGTATTCGCCGCTGCACGCACATAATTCGGGAATGTGGCACCGTTCTCCCAGTCCACGCAGATCACAATGCAATCCTCCTAAAAAAAATCAATGGAAAGGATTTGTTGTGGAATTATTATTTATTCTGATACAATTCCCTTTAAAGATCGATTAAAAACAAAGTAGATTAGTAACCACGCCAAGAACAAATTGATAATGAATATACATATCTCCAGTAATTGTTAAGCTGGAGACACCAAGTTTTAAGGGCAAATTTCATTGGTCTGGCTGCTTTCCGGCTGCATTCTAACTATTATCAGGCTACTCACCACTGCCATTAGCGCTGTTTTCATCTCGTAGATCCACACGTGCGGACAGGCGGAGCCAAAGCCGTGTACAATGACACGCACTGAAAGCTCATCGAATCCCTCGAGATCATCGATGGAAGGCGGCGGCGGTTTCTTTGGGCTGCCATTGGGCTTCTCTGTAGTCGCATTTAAACCGGCCGCTGGGACGCTGGTGGCTGGTAATGCATCGGCTGCGGTTGCTGGCGTCTCCGACTGCCGTTTGGTCTTTGCCTTGGCAAATGCGGCAGTCATGTTGCGAAAAGAGAGCTCCATGAGCGGGCGGTCAGAGCGCTGGCGCGTGGAGTAAAAGTAAAACTTGGTATTGATCTCCTCGGGCGACGAGGGCAGCATCTCCAGATAAGCAAACGGCCCAGAGTCCTCAAAGCAGCCCAGCTCACCGTAGCAGACACGCTTCACCGCCCGCTTAGAGCGTCGCTGACGTTGCTGCTGCTGCCGCTGTTGGTGTTCGTGCGCCAGCAGCGAGGCATGCACCGCCTCCGACAGTTGCGTAAAATTCGCAAAGCCTTCCGCACTGCTCGATCGCTCTTCCTGTCCGCCAAACGCTGCAATCGGATGAGTAAACAAAACAATTTGAATTTGGATATAATTGAATTGGATATGATTCGATTTATGGCCATAAAATGCGACACTTTGCACTCCAGGCACGTGCCCAAAAAATAACAAGCTATTCAAAATTTATTTGAATAAACATTTATATGAATTCCTATAAAGATGAAAACAGCACATTCGAAATGGGTGGCACCTGCTTAAATTATGTATATATATATATTTAAGTATTTCTGATCGTTCCAGTGAAACGGATAACTACAAATAAAAAAATAAAAAAAAACGAAAATAAATAAATGTTGATAAATCCATCTAGATAATTAGCCAATTCTAACGAAAAAGAGTTCGATCGTAGTGATGATTTTATGCAGATTAAGAGTTTGGCAAGATACCAAATTAAGAATATAAGAAAAATTCAAAATCATAGAAAATACAGACTCTACTCAAGAATATTTCAATATCTCAAATGAAGGGCCGTAGCAATTTCCTTCCAAAACATATTCAAAACTCAAACGGTTTTTTGTTTAAAACACAACAGCGATGTTTATTTTAAGGGAGAATATCTAAACATTAAAAGCTCTGCTTGGAAAATAGCCTACCACTGTGTGAAGCGATAAAAAAGTAATTAAAATATTATAAGTAAAAAACTCTGAATTTCTTTAATGGCAGGCGTGTAAAATGTTTATTTTTTTAGGCACTGCGCCATAATTTTCAACGTGTGGATGACATAAGCCAACCCCACATATATATATATATATATAGATATATATATATGTATATATATTTATATATATATTGTGTTATATATATATATAAATTACCGAGGCGTGAGTGCGTTTCCAAAGCGCTGAAACCCAAGAGGGAGAAAGAGAGAGAGAGAGAGAGATAGGGAATTATACATTCACATCAAACTGTCCACGCTTCGCCACACATGTCGCCAAGTGCCAATAATTATACATTTGATTATCATCTGCCTATTGGGAATCAGGAAGTGCTTGAATAGAACTACGTCTGTCCCAGCGTAAATATGAATACGTGTGTATACAAATGCAGCTAGGCCCTATAGGGCTTCAGCGGTATTCTCTCGCATAGCTAATGTGCTGACTCCCACTCACATTAAAGTAACAAGTGCCCTCCATCGAGCAGCACGTCGTAACGTGACTAATGGGGCTTATGCAACCAAATGCATCCAAGTTTTTCAAAGACAATTTGAAGCAATTTACACTTTAGGTTTCCTAGTGTGGCACATGTCATTTATATATTTATGTAATTGCTGACTTACGACTCAACGTCAAAGATATTTATGAAGGAGCTCCTAACTTCTCAACAACTAAAATAACGCTCAAGAAATGGCATGAAAAACACCACAAGAATATATGGGTAACTGAAGAGTTGAAATACTGTTGATTGTTTCATCATATAGATTTAGGGGTATTTCTTATATTATTATATCCGTTACTTTGTTTACTTTTCTTTCAACTTGGATTTTTAATTTAATTTAATTTCGTATCCTTTAATTCGTGACAATTTAATTCAAATTCAATTTTTGTTTATTAAAAACTTTGTTTTCTGCTTACTGTTTTTAGTTCAATAAATAAACAAACAAACAAAATTGTGGAGCGAATGAAATCAAAATGTATTCCCGAGGGCAGTGTTGCCAATATTTAATATAGGACTCTATCGGCCAAGCTCAATGGATGTGGGATAAGTTAAAAAGTGGTGTTAATAGTTGGTTCAATGTGTGTGTTACTATTGTTGGCTGTTTGAGTTGTGACTTTCGTTGTTTTCATTATTCCGTTTAAGGTTTTGTCAGTTTTTGGCACTGCAATCGCTTCTTCGATTTAGTTGACTGTTTTCGATTACATTTGTGAACACGCTATATATATAAATAAATATATATATATATATATATATGTGTGTGTGTGAGTGTGAGTGTGTGTTTTGTATGGATGGGTGTTGTTGTGGTTTTTATGGCGATTGTGCAATCTGTGAAGTGTTTCGCTCATCGTCAACTCAATGGCAACAATTGTCAAGTGAAACTCGACCGGGGGCCAAACAAATTGAAAGACGCTCACAATCAGCCAGCTCACCCGCTAGCCTTGAATTGGGGAGGGGGAAGAGTGGGGGATTGGGGTGGCTGTGTAGTTTGAGTGGGAGTGTGTTGGGACATATTAAGTGCTGTCTACGCAAACCATCCTCAGTTCAAGTAAGCTGTACAATTTAACACATAATAATTCAATTAGTAGATGTAGGGGCTAAATGGAAGTGGGAAGAGTTGTGTGTGTGTGTGTGTGTATGTAGCTCAATTAGTTAATGGATCGTCTACACTTACCGCTAGTCCGAGTGCCGAGCAGCAGCAGCAGCAGCAGCGCGAGGCAAATGTGTTGCATGTTGTTGTTGCTGGTATTGTCACCGTTGATGTTGTTGTTGCAATTGTAGTTGTTAGATATTATCCAATAACGTATGCAGTTGCCAATTGCATTGATGCTTAAGATGACCTCTCTCTGTCGCTCTCTCTCTCTCTCTCTCTCTCTCTCTCGCTCTCTCTCTCTTTATTGCAATTGCATTGCTCACGTTGTTGTTGTTGCTATTTGAAGTATGATTTTTGGCTGCCGCTTCTTCTTGTGTGTTTTTGTGGTGTTTTTTGTTCGGTGTTATGTCTCTTTCGCTTTGGTAATAGCAATATACCATAAACAAATTCACTTTCACTTATTTGTGAACCTGCCAGAAGCAGTCGCAGTCGCAGTCACAGCAGCAGCAGCAACAGTTGCTGCGGTCGTGACTGGTTGCCAGTTGGCAGTAGTTGCTGTTTGGTGACTGGTTCCTGGCCACGGCCAATAGCGTCTGTGCCGGCGTCTGCGTCTCTGACTCACTGACTGACTGACTGAGCCCAGCTTGCAGATGGAGCTGTTATTGTTATTGTTATTGTTATTGTTGTTGTTGTTGGTATTGCTGCTCTCAGTAAACCGCGTCTGGGGCGTTGGCGTTGTCGTTGACTTAGCCTGCTTGATTGAATTATGTGGCAGACGCACGACAGCATCTGCAGCAACAGTTGCTCTTGTCGAAGCTTTCACTTGACCAACAACAGCAGCAGCAGCAGCAGCAGCAGCAGCAGTAGTTACAGGTCCAATTTGGGACAGTTGCTTGCGTTGTGATTGATGTTGATTACTGATGATTGATTGTTTATGAGCTTTACTTTGTGGTGCCTGCAATCACAAGAAACAACAACAATATTCAATTGCATGTTTAGCTAAATGATACCAAATAATAGGAGGCCTCAAGTGTAGCAATTGATGTTGCTGTTGTTGTTGTTGTTGCTGTAATTTTAATTGTAATTGTAATCGTTTCGCCCGTCTGCATATTGTATAATAAGCCGGTTCGCTGACAGGATGTGCGCTAAGCGGCGATAACTGGCGCTGGGCCATTGACCTTTGTCGCTGTCGTTGTCGCTGCCCCTATCTCTGTCTCTGCCTCTGCCTCTGTCTCTGTCTCTGTCTCTGATTCCCCATCTAAGCAAACAACAGCAACAACAAGAACAACTACAGTTGAAAGACAAAAATCGCTAACAAACGCACACACACACACATTACACTGTACAAAATAAAAATGAATATTTGACAAAAGTAAAAATAAATAAATAAATAAATATTAAATACAAAATTGTAAGTTTGACTATTTATGAAATAATAAATATTGTTATTTCAATGTTTTCAATTAACATTCTTATTACAACTAATTGTTTTAATGTTGGCATTTTAATGTTTTCGAAATTCATATGTGTTTACAGCTGAATATACAAATTAATCAGAAAGGAGATAATCGAATAAAACATTACTGCTTCAGTATTGTAAATATGCACATATTCCGGAACCGGAACCGTGAGCCTACCGATTGAAATTCAGAACTGTAACCTGGCTTAGGGTGCGAATTAGCTAACTACAAGCTGCATTTAGTTTTGAGTTTTGCGGTCAAGTAAATACGCAAACTGTGTGCTGCAAAATGTGGCAACGCCCTGTCAATAAGTTGGCGACATCCAAACGACAAATTGGCAGCGCAACCAGCGTAATTTTGCAATGTTCAAAGTCAAATGCGTGGCGCTACCAGATGAGCTATGTATGCCAAGGTGGCAACACCGCACTGTTAACATTTCGACAGGCAAACCTAGTGGTAATTCAATCTAACGCTTAAGTCTCTCCCTGAAGACGAATTTCGACGAGATTCGAAGTACATCGATATATATATATATTTATATATATATATAAACAAAATACTTGACCTGCTGCCAGAAAAAAACATATATTTAATTGCAACATCCTTTAACTAGTACTCAGATATCTTCACATCAAATATCGCTGGGTGAATTTAAAACTGTGGAAAACGTTTTTCACAAAATTACAAATGACAAAAGCTCTCAGTTTGGTGCACAGTGTAGCTTTAGAGCCGTTAAACGTTAAACGTTGAACATTGGAAGTTGAATGTGGACATTTGGGTCAACAACAGACGGCAGTCAAAAGGCATAAAAACACAACAACACCATGCAACCGAAAAAAAAAACAGCTCTTGCCATCAAGTTTGTTGTCGAGTTTTTTCTTTTGGCAAATTTCCAAAGATGAAATTCCATGAGTCAATTGTGCGGGAGACTGGCGGGATCTGAAGACCGAGGGTGCCACTAGGTGCCATCTAATGAAAGTGAAAACTTTCAGTCATTAAAAAAAAAACCTGATAAGTGATTAAAATGATAAACCGAAACCGAAGCGAAATATTCAGAGCAGCGCTGGAAACTGTAAGTTGATTGATTGATTGATCTATTGACCACATATCGCACCTTCACTTTCGTTGAAGCTGAGACTTTTCAATTAGCATCAAGTTAAACATTAAGCAAGCTCTCCAAATGTTGTCACCGCCAACAATTTTAACAACAGAAGCATTACAACATGTTTGTTTAAAGACGGTCCGTCAAGGAGCTGTTGCTGATTAACTATGCACTGTTAATCAACTCGAGCTAGGCTTAATTTAGTTTCATAAATATTTTGCCATTGTTTTCTTTTATCTCTTTTTCACTCTCAAGTTTCGCTTTTTTCAACACATCATTCCATCTAAAGATAGTGAATCATTTTGTATGCAAATAGATGCAAAAAAAAAAACACACATTCTAATATATGAGTCTTTCAAATACCAAGAAAGTTAACATATAAAATGTTAAAGTAGCGTCAACATAGTGCTTTTAAGAGAGTGCTGTTAATTTAGTATTCATTTTTAATGATCAAAATTTGTGGCCCTAACAATCTCAAGTCACAGTTAAATAAGAGGTACTAATTGCTTATAACTTGATTTAACCAATAACAATTAATCTATATTTCTGCTCTTAATAACAGTTTTTACTCAATTAAGAGCACCTGTTGCTGTTGCTTTGAGTTCATTCACAGAAAATGACAAAGCGGCAAAAGACAATCGCATTGTTTAACGGATCCATCAATCAATGGCAAAAGTTGCGCCCACCCGCAACACGATGTTGAAATGCGGAACAAACGAAGCATAAAGAGTACGCCAATAAATATAGGCAGATGGCGAGAGAGAGAGAGAGAAAGAAAGATAGAGAAATAGAGAGATGATGAATGAAATTGTAGGCTGTAATGAAAAGTGTAAGTATCTGGCAATAATGCTTCTAAGCAGCTTTCTCACGACTTCTACTCATGCTGTCCGTTCTATTTGTCAATCAGTGAGTTAGTCAGTTCATCAGTCCATCAGCCACTTTCAAATAGATTAACCCAATTTAATAGCTGGGCCGCTTTCAACTGCTGCTGATGATGCTGCGGCTGTTACTGCTGCTGCTGCTGCTGCTGTTGCTTCTACTATTTGCCACTTCTTGTTTTCGCAATTGCTGCTAATTCTGCTCATTAAATAGAAACATCGACGCGGCCTGATCGCCTATTCCGGAGAACTGACAGCTCATCCAGTTGGGAAAGCCACCGAGAGTAGGCGAGAAATCGAAATTGCAGACCAAATCGAACCATGCCAAAAAGCGAAAAGCGCAAAACGGCTCTTTAGCTAATAAGAATTGAGTATGTTGAGCTTGCCAAGCGCGAGGATACCCTATACACAGAGTACTACTAGATACTTTTGTATACCCACCTACACCTATCCATACATCTATAATTCTCTTAACGTTCTCTTATAAGTTCAATGTAGGGATTATAAAATCCAAAGGTGTATGTAAGTACATACAAGTATAAATTCTGCATACAAGAGAATATCCGAGAGATATGCCATAAAGAGATAATGAATCAGCTAAGTGAGCTTTACTTGAATTTGCCTCATATAATCATATCGCAAACTTCCTGATGGCTTAAATAATATTCTTTAATATAAAACAAAATTTAACTGAAATCGTTTTATGAAATTTATACAATCAGAAAATAATCGAATCTGAATAATTAGTTGTTTTCTAACAGACATGGAATCGAAATCTACAGATTCCGCCATTCCTATTGGAAATTCTTACGCCATACGCCATACTTCCAAACTTACTGACAACAAAAGGAGAACCACATGCCGCATCTTTCAAATAGATGAACTGAGGCTTAAACATTATAAACATTGTGATACCCAATTCTTGGTCAATTTTTATGGGTCCTATACAGGCTATAACGAAATAGGAACTAAACGTAAGAGGCGTGTGTGCCAACAATGCTTTAGCATTGTGCCAACTTTGGGCTATCGGTTTTCATCGATTTGACACAGAGCGAATGTCTATGTGTGTATGTGTATCAATGTATCTGGTGTGCCAATTTAATGCCAGCAATCGCCGTCGACTTTATTAGTTTGCTTGCAATAAAATACAAAAGACTTAGGCAACGAACTTGCAGTCGCTGGCGCGCAGCCAAAAAATATAAATCAAAACAAAAAAATACGAAAAATACGAAAAATGTTTGAATTTCCTTAGCCAATTTTCGCATGACAGCCGCAGCAGTAGCCGTAGCAAGTCACATAAATAGTTTCCTGTTTGTTACGACGGACTCAACAACAATAACAACAACCAAAGTGTAGTAAAAAGGGAGGCGCTGGACAGTAACAACAACGACTACAACAGAAATTATGATTTAAAAGCCAGCCGCGCATGAAGTTTCCGCCGTTATTTTAGAGTTTAGTGCTGTTGTTGTTGTTGTTGTTGTTGTTATTATTGCTGTTGTTTTTGTTGCTGCTCTGCTGCTGCTGCTTTTGACGTTGAGCTGTACAAAATTAGTTTCTTCTAATAATTGTTACATGTTGTCGTCTTTGTTATTGTTTGTTGGATTTTCACAAGAATTTCCACAGTGGCAAACTCATTGTTCATGCATTGCATGCAACCAAGGAGAAGCAGAAGCCCGAGCCGAAAAGACAATGCGCCATAAGTCAACCAACAAGCCTAACCAACGGTAAAATGCAATGAGACGAGAATAGGCAAAAAGAGCGATAACAATTATATACAATGGCAAACGTATATGACACACTTTATGGCTATGAATATTCCAGGGGGAAACCCCCCCCCCCCCCCACTCCATCCCTTTCTCTCGTTACTTGCCGCCAAAAGTAAAGTTGGGGAAAGAGCCAACTCGCCGAACAGGGAGATGAAAGAACCGAGAAGAGGTCAAGTGAGCATCCATCATGAAAGCGTGGGATGTGTGACGAACGTGTTTGTCTAGAGTATTCTGAGGTATATTGATTCACTTGTATAATGCGTAACAAATAAGCAAAACAACTATCTGAACCAGGGTTTGTTTTGACAAGACTAAATACAGCTGCTTCTTTGGCCCTGACCAACAATATATAGTATATAGAAATAAGCCGATTTATTATAACATCGCATATTTTACATTTATAGTATAGAATATCAGTTGTCATGAGAATGACTATTGTCTCTACACAAAATACACACTATGAAATATGGGTTACCAGTTGGTTTTTGTATGAATAGTTTCTTTTTTCTTTTCACCTGAGGCTAACTAACAAAGTCTCAACAATTTTTTGGATATTTAACATTTATACTGTGTACATAGATTAATTTGTTGTAATCTTATAAAATATTTATTTGAGAAAGCATATAAAAAGTTTTCATAATAAAAATCGCCCTTAAATCCAAAAAGTTTCTTTGCTTCTAAAAATTTGTATTTCAACAGAAACAACCTCCATTTTCTAACTAACTTACCAGATAAGCTACATTATTAAAGGTTGTCTCAGAAAGAGAATGGGTCGAACACAAATCAAGCAAATCGGATTACTATATAATATTATTATTATTATAATTATTATTATGATGATTATTATTATTAATATTATTATTCTTATTATTATTTTTATTTTTATTATTACTACTGCGAGCTACTGGATCTTCTGTACCTCTACCTTGTATATATCCGAATACATATAATAAAAAAGGACATAGAAAAAATCGTTAGACAATGGACATATGGATAATAATACATTCATATATGATAAACTTGAACAAACTTATGTAAATTCATTTTTACTTTATCTTATAACTACCAAGGAAAGTTTTTATTTATAATTTGTGTTCAAAGCCGTTGTCGAGGGTATTTGCGCTTCGGTAAGTGGAGCACACAATTTCTTTCATTCTAGTTCTTTCAATCTATGGCCCCATGGCCCAATTTAACTGGTACTGAAATGCCCAAAGAGCTAACTCCAATTACAATTACACAAATTCTTGCCTGGGGACAATTAATTGTCTTTGTCTTTGGGTTTGTTATTTGACCGCAATATCTCGGGTTGCCCAAGACAACAAAGTACGGCTTATAGTAAATGTACGGCTAATAATGAGCCACCGACCCCAATTGTCAAGTGCACTCTCGATCTGGATCTCGGGTTTCCCAGCCATTATCATAATCATAATCACATATAATTGTATCTGTTAAGCCACATCTAGCAAGAAGTCGGCTGTACTGTAGAAAGCTGAAAGAAATTAAAGATGTGTAACCGGATGCAGCGTAAGTAAAGTGTTGCAAAGTGCCCAAAGCAATTTTCACGAGGCTTGTGCTTATTAATTATTTTCCATCTAGTACTCCGGAAGTTGTTAACAAGGCTAAATTCATTACTTAAGAAGCTTAGTTTCCAGCTCTCAAGTGGGTTAGGCGATTAAATGCGAGCGAAATTTTGTTACTACTTGTCAAAAATATATTGCTTGTCAACATCAGTTTAGTGTTGACATTTTTTTTGTAATATTGTGTAGCTTCATTAACTGCGGCCTAGTTAGATCTGGTAAGCTGTTCCATCAACCCTGTTTCTAGCACAAATTCAACGATTTTTAAGGTTAACGAATTCTTTGACTTCTTAGCTTAAGGCAGGTTTCCCAGGCAGGATATTGCACCTTAGCTATGTGACCTCCTTATCAAGAGACCAGTGTTCTGAGTCTGTTCTTTCCTTTGGATATTATTTGCTTAAATAGTTGCTGATTATAGATTATACCCGGTGCCGCTACCCAGCCCAATTGCCGCGTATGTCTTTCTTCGTTCCATAATACGGTTCCGTTTAATTTCCCTCCCACATCCCTATGACCCGGAATTCATCTTAGGGCAAACATATTGAGTTGATCTACCTTAGTCCATACCTCCCTACTATTTTTTACATAATTTTCGACTTCTGTAGTGCGATTTTGATAACGGAATGCAGTACAAGATTTTTATCCGTTTGTATTTGACTTGTTTTCAAATATAATTGCACATATCTAAGATTTGAACATAAGCTCGAGCCAAATCAAGTGACGTTTTAATGGCCTGCACTTAAAAAAGAATAAAATTCAACATAAGACATTAATTCCTATACCATTTGCAAATTTGTATGGTTCCAGTGGTTAAATGTATAACTCAACGATTTGCAAGCCAATTTCCAAGTGAAAATGGGCAATTTGAAAGTAAAGACCTGTGATTTTTGTCCCCACTTGTGGCGCCCAATTGACGCCCGACCTTGCCTCTGTCAACAAGCACAGCAGCAACAACAACAACAACAAGAGCAACAACAACAACACATAAACTCGGCTATTGGCAGTTTAAAGCACGCAGATTATGTTAAATCGTGTTATTCAAAAGCGACACCAACTAAGACAACAACAATGATGACAATAAAGTGTTTAACTAAATTTAAAATTGTTTTTTTTAATTTAGTTTTTTGTTGTAGTATGACATTGAAGGAATTTATGCACTTTAATTGAAAACAATTTTCGTGGTAGCGGGTTCCAAAATACCCTGTCATACAACAATATCATTAAATGGGTATTTGAAAAGCTATCCACAGTTATGGTCGTGTCTATCCGATCTAATGATCTATAAGAGCTAGAGCTAGAACATTGAGTATGGAGCTTCTCGTATACTTAACGCTCTGTGTTCACAACTTGAAAAGTATTCGTAAAGAATTCGTTGCAGGGTATTCATTGATCGAATAATGGCTGCTATTTGCTATTTTATTTCGACTTGCACTATTGTTGATTTAGACTTAACACCATGAATTTGTTGTGCGTTGCTGCTATATAAATTGGCTGCCTTTTGTCTCTTTTGGTCTCTCTGCAATTCGTGTCAATGTCAGCATGATATTATTATTATTATTATTTTTTTTTTCTTATTATTTATTTCAACTTTATTAATCTCTTTTTCTTGATGCATGCTGCATTGGGGAGGAGGGGGGCATGACAAGTAATGCTCTCCACAAACGGGTTTCAACAACAGCAGCAACCAGATGCATAATCACAAAAACAACAACAACAAGTGCAAGCGGCAAGCAAATACTAAAAGACTTAAGCGACAAACTTGCAAGCTTGCTTGCTGCAAGTGCAGAAAATTAATGAAAATTAATAACAAAAACAATACTAAAACAACTAAGGCTTGATATACATACGTGCACATAGTGTGTATGAGTATATATGACAACCATTTGTGAATGTATTCATTTTTGTGACGGTTTGTGATAAGCAAAAGATGCCATCAACAACAACAACGCCAATAACAACAACAGCTGCTTCTGCTTTGGAGCCCAGTCCCAGTTTACAGTTTCACTTGAGGCGCGTGAAAGTTACTCTTCACAACAAAAACATCAAATCAAAAAACAAAAAACACAGAAAATAAACAACAACCCACATACAAGCACACACACACACACTCTCTCACACACACATATATAATTGAAAGACAAAAGTACAAAAAAGGGCAGGCCAAAGCCGCAGTTGAGTCAAAGGCAAAGGCTAAGCTTAAAGTAACCATTAAAATGCAAGCGCAAAGCAAAGCACAGCAAAATAAGTAAAAAAAAAAAACACACACACAAAAAGAAACCAAAGCACAAACTGCAATTACACACTTCTTTCTTTTCGCATTTGATTGTTTAATAGTTTGTCAAAACTTGTCAAAAGAAAAAAAACGTTAAAAAAAAACCGCCACACAAAAAACAAAACGGTTTTAAAATGCAACGCGAAAGACGACAACGCTGCAAATTAGCCGCTCCGAAACGTAAACGATAAACAGAAAATGCCGTCACGAACCTCAGCGCGTCGCGGCTGAAGATCAACTGAAACGGCAAACGAAACACGAACCTCGCGAAACTCACAAAATTCGAAGCAGCTTTAGTGCTTCGGCAAAAGCGCTCGTGCAGACCGAAACAGACCGACTGCATACTCTACAGTCTACACTCTACTCTCAATTGGCGTACTCGTCACCATTCGAAGCACGTCCGATTGCAAAAAGCCAAAACCATAGAAATATACAACAAGCAAAAAGTAAAAATCACAAAAACAAATTGCCAAAGCCACGTTCGTTATGAGGGTATGGGGGTGGGGGTGGGGGTGGGGTCTTCGTGCGGCTTGTGTGCATGCATGTAGGGCCCACTAGCCGGACTAGCTATTTTTGCCTATGATTGCAATTGGTTCCACAGAAACCATCTGAAAACCACGCGCCGCTCTATTACCCACAGAAAGTTCTAATTTGACCCACTTGGCTGGCTGGCTGCCTGGCCTGGCAAATGTGAACAAGCACAATAAAAACGTATTGGTTTCTACCTCGTTAGTTAAGTATGCATTGGGTATATATTGAAATGTTTAATTCCATATGTCACTTATCTATCTGCATAGGAAATACATCTATTGACATATATTGCTGTTCCTCTCTTAACCAGATTTAAGTTTAGCAATCTTTTTTTTTTTTAATTAGCCAAGCACTTATGCAAGTATACAAGTTCTATAATTTACCTTTTCTTACTTGTTGGTTCCATTTAAAATATATACATATATTATGACAATTTTTGTGGATATCATATCATTTTATTATCGACCCTAGCATATTTTTGGACTTGATCAATTAACAAGACCTTTCCATATTATGGGTCAACACTCACATATTCAAGCTATTGTTTATGATAATAGCCATTACTGCACATAATAATATTTAACTATTGTTCACAAATTTACCATAGTTCTGACCAGTACACAGATTTCGGTAGTTACTGTGCCTACATTGCTATTCTTTTCATTTCAAAACTTGATTTGGACTGGAAAAATTGCGTACTATTTAAAAGTTGATTGGCTTGAAAACATTAAGCTCGATCCATCCAAAAATGAAAAAAATCACAGCCATAAACTAGATTTTTAGTTAATTTTGAAGAATGTTACAACTTCCTTCCTATCATATTACCTATTAAACAATTTTTTACGAAACTTAAGCAAAACAAAAATTCAAATACCGAAAATAAAGTTTAGAAAATTGCGGAATAATGGAATACTCGTTTTCCCTTAATTCTCGTGCGCTCCCAATTGCAAAATAAGTATTTTTATAGATTCGTAATAGTTTATTTAACAATTTTAAAAACTATGCAAAATCGAAAAAAAATAGTGAAAGCAGTGCCCAGCGATAGACATATTTTTCGAAAATAATTGCAAATGGATTTCGAATGAAATTTTGAATTTTTTTGCTCACATTTTACAAGGCATTTTACATTGATTTCTTTTAGCTGCGTATAAAGAGCTCAATAAATTCAATATTGTTTATTTTATACATTTGCATATATATATATATATATATATACATATATATATATACATATTTATTTTTTTTTATCGGTTACATTTAAAACAGGCTACTTGTCTGCTGCTTAACTGGCCAATTGATCAATTGTCTGGCTGGCTGTCTGTTTGTCAAGCTGACTAACTGGCTGGCTGGCTGGTTATCTGGCGGAGTGAAGGCATTGGCAAACAATCTAACACCCCTTGCAATTTACAAACATTCACAACTCACACACACACACTCAATCGATCTGCATGACACACATACATATAGATTATAATCGTTTCGGGTTTTCTATTTTGTCGTTTTTGTTTTTTTTTTTTTGATTAACATTAAGAGTATAAAAATACATTGACAATTTGTTCTCTTCGTCTTACTGCCAGCAGCAGCAGTAGCAGTGGGAGGAGGATACAGACGGGAGGCTATTGGTGTTTGTGTGTGTGTGTGTATGAGTGGTGTAACATATGACAAGACTTGAAATTACAATTTTAATCATAAATATGTATATAATTACTATCAATCATCAGCAGCACAAACCTATTTCGTGTGTTACCAACAAAAAAAACAGCAAGACGAAGAAAATTAATTGTATATGTGCATAAATGTGTGTGTGTGTGGTGTGTGTGTGTGTGTGTGTGTATGTGTGAGTATGTATGTGTGTGTGTATGGTGTGTGGTGTGTGTATGTGTGTATGTGTGTGGTGTGTGTGTGTCTACAAGCCAGTGGTGTGTTGTTTGGTTTTGTTTTGTTTTTAGTTTTCATCGATTTATGCAATAGGCAACAATTAGAATTAGCTGATGGCGGCGGCGGTGTCTTTAGCATCTGATGCCGGCATCCTGTCCGTGCTTAGCCCTCCTGGCCAAAGTCCTCTGTGAATTTGCGCAGCTTTATCAAATCGTCCTCGTTGACGGTCGGTTTCGTGCGTGACAACGATTTCAACATGTCTCGCTGCACCAGAGAGAGATACACAGAGACAGAAATAGAGAGAGAGAGAGAATCGATAACATGATCACACTCAAGGATATCAGATTGTGATTCCTATCAAATACGGCAAATACGCACCATGGTGACGGGCGGTTCGAACAGCTTATCGCTGGGCACATCCATCCAGTTCATTTCGGTGGCGCCCGGATCACCCGGCGAGCAGGGCACCAACAGATCATCGACAGTCTCCTCCTTGTTCACTGGACTTTGGCCAGTGACGCGCTTAAAGTGGGTGGCTGTTTGCACTTTGCGCACCGGTTCCATTAGGGCATCGCGCACCACAATAGATATATCGGCGCCAGAGTAGCTGCAGACAGAGATTGCGATTTGAATCAGTATATGGTATATATACAAATATACATATGCATATGGCAGATAGTTGGATAGGTTATGCCTTACCCATCGGTCTTGCCGGCCAGCTCCTTGAGATCCTGCTCGGTCAGCACGTGCGTAGTGTTGCCCAAATGTATCTTGAACATGACGAGGCGAGCGTGCGCTTCCGGCAACGGAATGTAGATGCGCTTCTCGAAACGTCGACGAATGGCCGAGTCGAGGACCCAGGGTATATTTGTGGCGCCCAGCACTAGGATGCCGTCGGTATCATTGCCAACGCCCTGCATCTGGACAAGAAACTCGGTCTTGATGCGACGCACGCTGTCGTTCTCATTGTCGGAACGGGCCGAGCACATCGAATCGATCTCATCGATGAATATAATCGACGGCTTGTGCTGGCGCGCCAGCTCAAAGAGATTCTTCACCAGCTTCTCGGACTCGCCCAGCCATTTGGACATTAGATCGGAACTGGATACTGAAAAGAATGTGGAACGATTTGCCTCGGTCGCGACAGCTTTGGCCAAATACGATTTGCCCGTGCCGGGTGGCCCAAACAGCAAAATGCCTTTCCACGGTATGCGTTTGCCGGTGAACAGCTGCGGAAACTTGATCGGCAGGATGACAGCCTCCTTGAGTGCCTCCTTGGCGGCATCGAGGCCAGCGACATCGGACCATTGCACGTGCGGTTTCTCAATCACAATGGCACCCTCGAGTTTGCTTTGCAGCTTCTTCTTCTCTGGATCATCGTCGTCCTCGTCATCGCTGTCGCTCTTTTTATCCTTGTCATCCTTGGAACTATTCTCGCCACCCTCCTTAATCGGTTTCTTCTTGCCCTTTTTCAGATACTCCTTCAACTTCTCGGCCCGATCCAAATACTGTAAGCACTTGGCCCGAATCGAGTCCTTGGCTTTTTCGCCCTGCGCCTCATCTGCAAGGGTGTTTTTTGAAAAGATTGTCAGTTTTGAGTGGGGGGCGTTACTCTATATATAATATATATTGGTCGAATCGAAAGTGCACCTTTAATGTGCAGCTATTTGTCTCCTAGCTGGACCCTGTGACAATTATCAAGCGAGCACTATACTTACATTTAATGGTGTGCAGAAAATACTCGACACCGTGCTCGTAGAGACGCAGCGCCTCGGCATAATTCTTATTCCGATCCTCCTCGGTGGCCTTTGTGACCAGATCGATGGCCTTCTGCAGGGTGGTGCCGGCAGCCATGAATGTGTTGTTTTTGCTCTTGTTGCTGCAGTTGTTGCTGTTGTATGGAGATTACCGTCTGTTTGCGGCTGCTGCACATTTTGAAATGGAAATGAAAAAATAAGTTGCGAATGACGTCACATATTGACTTTTATAAAACGCAAACAGCGAATATGGCAAAAGTAAAACACAAGCAAAAAAAAAACGGCGAGAAAACAAGAAAACAAATGGAAAACCGAAAGCAGTTCTTCACTCACACAAGGAAAATTCAATTCCAAATTTGTGTATGACTAAGCAGGCTGCGGTAGCATTGACAAAAACAAAAAATACATGACGAACACGAAGGCGAAGAGTTCTTTCTTTTTGTTTGTTGTTTGTTGCGCATTACTCACCTGTATATTGTTTGTTCGTCTTGGTTGCTCGCAGTTTCGCTAATTTGGCGATTTATGTTGCTGTCGCGAGGACAGCATGCGCCAATTCAGCAACACAAAATAATAAATACGGAATTACTGCGAAATTTCAACGGAATGACGATGTAGTCGTCGATATCAATGCGTTTGTGTGTGTGTGTGGCGGGTGGTCCGCCGACTGCCGATTGTGGTCTATCGATAGATTGTGGCGGCTTTGCGATAGACTTCTGAGTAATCACTCAGATAATTGAAACGTTTCTAAATTGAGAGCATCGATAGTTGTTGGTATTAAATACTCTTAAGAATATTCGATTTGTTCGAATAAGCTGTATTGAAAAGTCTCTTTGAGTAAACAAATGAAATTCCACCACATATTTTGTACAATATTCTGTAAGCAAACCAAAGTATTTTCTTAATTTAAAAACATCAACTACGATCTCTTGGTATTTTTTTTAGGTAATTATTTAGCTTCTTAAATTCGTCAATCTGTAAATAGGCTTTTATTTGCCTCAAGTGTGCAGTTTAACTTAACATGTTAAAAATTACCTGATGTTAATTGACAGCTGTGCATTGCTTTTTACAAGGCACTCGATGCTAGCTGCTAAGTATCGATACCTACAACAAAAACAAAAAGGTACATTTATTTACAAACTAATTTGTTTAACGTGTTTCGTTAGCGCCTTATGTGAATTGAAGAACAACACACAGTGCAGCTACAATGCGTGATTGACCAAACGTGGCGTATGTCCCAACGCTGGCTCGTTAAAAAATAACTACAACAACAAGCACCATATAAATTCAATTCTAATTGAAATTTATTTATCAACGCGGTCACAGTCGCAGTCGCTTCGTTTCGCGTATCGTCTCGTATATGTGTGCATGCATATATACATATTTTAGGCACTGCCAGCAAGCGCAAATGTCACAGTGACGATTCCCCATCCGCCTTCACCGGCAGTCTCCCGCCACACCACCCAAATCCCCCCCACACACACACACCCTTCCCCCGTCATATGCTTTAGTGGCTGGTGAATCTCTTAATTAACCAAAGATGGGCCCGCGTTTGGCTTGATGGAAAAAGCGAGGAGCAAAAAAATTAAAGAAAAAATTCAAATAATAAAACGCACACAAGATGTGGTAAAAATTGATAGCAAATATTAATTGATGACAATAAATGCGCCTAACACAATTGAATCGAACGCAAACGATCAATAGTTGTCAGCAGCTGGAGAAGAACGGATCGAAACGGAGCATCTGTGAAAATGGAAGGCGAAATGAACGAAATGGACGCGAACAATGAGAAGAAAGTGCTCTGTGAGAAGATCATACGCGACATAAACGCTGTCTTTCTCAAGGATGCCGACTTGTGAGTTTTATTCGTTGCTCCGCCCTACTTAATAGTTGCAATTTAATTAAATCAATCCAAATTTGCAGAACCTCATTTGAGATTATACCAAAGGAGACGAATTGCAATAAGTCGCCGGTGGTGCATGTGGAACACAATCTGGGCCTGGAGTCGTGGTGTGCCCAACATGTCTACGATCATGCCCATCGCACGCTCATCTCTCATCGCCGCCAGACAACACAACAGCAGCTGCGCACCCTGCAGCAGCAGCAGCAGAGCGACTCTCTGGCCAAATACCTGAATGTGGCCCTGCTGATCAATCCGGATGTGACGACGTTCTGGCACATACGCCGTCAGCTGGTGCAAAAGAATCGCCTCAGCATCAACAAGGAGCTGCAATTCTCCGCCCTAGTGCTCTCCATTAAGCCAAAATCAAACGAGGCGTTCGCCTATCGTCGTTGGCTCTACTCCTTTCAGAGTAGGTCACATCAATATCATATCAAGACCAATACCAATAGCAATATATAATATATATGTATGTTCTATATTATCTCCCTACCAGGCGCCGATGCCATTGACTGGCCGCACGAGATAAGCATATGCGAGCGTGCCGCCGATCGTAGCGCCAGCAACTATCACGCCTGGTCTCATCGCCAGTGGGTGCTGCAGAATGCACCCTGCCTGCTCCAATCGGAGATGATGCGCACGGAGAAGTTTATGCGCAAGCATATTAGCGACTATAGCAGCTATCATTATCGCCAGGTTCTGCTCAATCGAGCCTACGAGCTGTGCTTCTATGGGGCTGACGAGTCGCAGCCACAGTTGGCCAGTTTACGGGATCTGCTCGCACAGTACGAGTTCAACTGTGACGCGACCGATGAGACAGTCAATGAGCCGGGGGAATCGCTGCTGCAACTGCTGTTGCCCAACCTGAATCGCAGCGGGATTAGTGAGCAACGTTTGCGCTCCTTTCTCTACTGTTGCAACGTGGCCGCCAGCGATATGCGTCTGTGTGTGGAACAGCGGGCGTTGTATGGTGGACGCGATTGCTTCGAGCTGCATCGGCGCGCCTCGCTCAAGTTCATCGTGGAGCAGTGTGTGCGCCTGCTTACTGGTCTGGCCAGCGGATCGGGTCGCTATCTGCCACCGGCCAGCGGTGCACAGGTGAGCGAGTTACGCAAATTCGATTGTGAGTCGCATCCGTTTCTCGTCGCGGTGCGACGTGTCGAGTTTGAGTTAGGTGACAAGCACAGGCGCTGGTGCAATATGCATCTCAATTTTGGCCAACAGGAGCAAGCCAGCAACTAAATTCAAATCCACTCAATCCACTTGTTGGTCAAATGTGCCGTAAGCGCAACGCAACGCACTCATTGAGGCTGTTTCGTTCTCGAGCAGAATCGAAGTCATACATACATATGCATATCATATATACAAACATAAAATATATATAATTATATATTTATATATGTATATATATATATATATATATAATTATTTTTATATGTACAAGTAGTGCTCGTTATGTAGAGTCTACAATTGTGGACCACTCAAAAAAGAACCTTGTCTAATTCTTAAGGCTAAGCTCAAAGCAAATCATTAATTTATTCTGTACTCCAACTCAACTTGATAATTATCTTGAACGGTGCTCGCTCGATAATTAGAAATTCGAAATATTATAAAACCATTTTTATTTTCTGATCATTTAAATCAATTGAAAATTATTTGAGACAACAATCATTAATTTGTAGCTGTTTCCATAATTCGGAAGTATTCCCGAATTAAAATCACTAAGCGTTTTCAATTTTGAGCGAACACTGTATATTATATCTGTTATGTGTGCACATCAGGCTATTGTTTAACTGAATCTGATTCAGCAATAAACAGTATATATGAATATATACATACAGTTACCCCATCAACTGGGACTTTTGTGCATACAACAACAATTTTCATGCATTTCAATCGAGATCAATCGTAAAGTTCAGTTAATATATCTCGTGTTCAATCTATATATATATTTGTGTATATATATATATATATATATATATATATATATATGTATGATTGTAAATATATATATATATATATACATATTTATTTATATATAAACTTATTTTAAATACTCTGTTAGTTATATATACGTAGTATTGTATAATGATATAATATGTATAGGCGCACTTTAAGCGCCATTAAATGCTCTCTTGTTAGCCAATTTGCAGTTAGTTTTAAATAAATACAACAATAGCAAAGATTTTCATACACTGGCGTTTTTAATTTGATTGTCGTTTTGTAATAAATCCGGGTTAATCAGGGCATCAATCAAGTCTCATTCCGGAGCACCTCTTTCGTAGAGTAAGTTTTTCTGAATGGTATCTTGATCAAAATTATGGCACAAACTCTAAAACTAAAACCTAATTTCTGATCGTTTTTTTCCAGAAAAAGAAAACCAAAATAAAATTGATTAAACTTGGTATCTTACGACTTTTGTAAATCCGTAAATCGTTTTGTTGCGTATGAAATTCGGTATCTGAATATGGCAATAATTGTACCAACATTAAATAAACACTCACTTTCAAAAGCTCAGTTCCAAACCGTTTTTGGTAATAATCATAATGCTTTAAGTTGGACTTAAAACTAATTCGTATAACAATCCATTGTGGTCAACCCTAATATGGTTTTAAATAGTGGACATTATTCGCTAGATTCATTGAAGGTTTCATTTTGCAAACAATTAAATAATTCTTGATTGTTCTTGTTATTTTTCGTGGAAGCCGCAAAGACGCAGCCAAAGGGGGGCGGGTGCGAGTGTGGGAGTGTGGGAGGCGACCAGGGAGAGGAACGCATCGCATTGGCGTACACAGGCAGCAGCATCAATCAGTGCGCATGTCAGCTGCTAGCAAGGACCATACTCACCACAACAACAACAACAAAAGCAGCAGCAGCAGTTGATGGAGCAGCAGCAATGGGTTTTTGGATTTTTGGTTTAGTGTGCTATTGGAGGAGTTTGCGTGTGGCGGCTGAGCCTTGTGTGTTGCGAAAGCAACGCGTGCCATAGAGACAGAGAGAAACAGGGAGAAAAAGGGAGAGGAGTACAAGGACGAGAACGAGGACGAGAGACCCAACGAGACAAATAACCAGCAGCACCAGCAGCAGCAGCAGTAAAAACAGAGACAGACACACTCGAAACGAGAACGGTCCTCAACTTGGTCGCTTTTAGCTGAGCGCAGTGTTTGTGCCAAAATTGTTTCTTATTATTATTGTTAAGTAAATAAACAAGGTGAGCAAGCAAATCAAATTGATCAACTGGTGCAACTAAAGAGCAAAACACATCGAACAGTAGAATACCATATATATATATGTACAAACATATATGTATATGTATATGTATATGTATATGTATATGTATATGTATATGTATATGTATATGTATATGTATATGTATATGTATATGTATATGTATATGTATATGTATATGTATATGTATATGTATATGTATATGTATATGTATATGTATATGTATATGTATATGTATATGTATATGTATGTGTATATGTATATGTATATGTATATGTATATTCTTATGTATATGTATATGTATATGTATATGTATATGTATATGTACATGTACATGTTTATGTATATGTATATGTATATGTATATGTATATTCTTATGTATATGTATATGTATATGTATATGTATATGTATATGTACATGTACATGTTTATGTATATGTATATGTATATGTATATGTATGTGTACATGTTTATGTATATATATATAGGTATAGGTATATGTATGTGCATGTATATATGTATGTGTGTGTGTACGTGAGTGCTTATAACTGGGCTTTGCCTTTTAAATATTCATTCTCTGGCATTTTTGAATATTTTTATTGTTTACTGTTTTAATCCTTTAACTACGCTTCAGTTGCTGCTTTAGGTACAAAGTCAGCCATCTATATAGTTCCCGCCCAACCACCCCCTACCCGAAGGTCGTTACTTTTTAAACCAGTTGACAGCAGCTCTGAGGCTGAAGCTTAAATATATATACACACACACAGACATTAATAGTGCTGTTGAATTCTTGAGGAGGCTGCTTTGACAGTTGACTTTTTTTTTTATATTTATTTCTTGTGTTTTTCTTGTTGTCAGGTATTGCAAGCAGGCTATTTACTTCCCTTTAAGCAGCCTAGTTGCACATACTACATGTGTTCACAATTTGACAAGAGCTCTTAAGGATGGCAAAGTGACTATTTCACAGCAGTTCCAGTGTATGGGTGCTGGCAGCGCCAGTGCCTCCTGCAGTGTATTGCATTCGGTTTGGGTATGCAGAGTCGGTGGACTCGATTCACTGCGCAGCAGACACTTGAACATTTGTAGGCTTCCAATTGTTGCACTCATGCGGATCACGCAACAAACAAAACGAACACTCAAAGATGCCAAGGGATCTATTCTCCGCGTGCAATGTGCCACAGCAGAGCACCACAACCTGACCATATGGATCCATCCTGTCCTGGCTCTGGCTCTGGCCCTGTCCCTGAACATCCAAGTGCGACATATTCGAATTGAAACAGAAACTAAAGGTTTGCTTTGCATTCACTTGTGAATCCACCATCATAGCTTCATCATCCGCAATCACTTTCAGCTGCAACGCTGCATCGCTCCATCGATCTGTGAGGCTTAAGCTATTAGTGTTGTATTTGTTGAAAAATCATTCGCCAAATTTGGGTGAACTTAAGTGTATGGGAAAGACTGCTCCTCAGCGTTGTGGCAGCTCCTCCTCCAGGCTTGTGTGCAAATATCTAAATAACAGATCCCTGCTAATGTGACCCTTGTGCAGAAGCTTGTGAATATCCTCCACATGCGAAGTAAGGTAGGCAAGCGCCTCTTTTGGCTCCTCAACGCTACACACAATTGTTGTCACACTTTTAATTAGTTGCCGCAGCACGGGTATATTTCTTTCGTTAAATATCAGATCTCGTTGTCCGATAATGCGCTGCTCTGACATGGACATGACCTTCCTTTTTTCAGGTGTACATGTATAATACTGCACACACGCACAGACACACAAACACACAGATATACACATTGTATATGCGTTAAGTTTTCCTTGTTCCGCTGGGTTAGTTTTAAATGTAATCTTTAATTTGATTGTCCTTTTGTCGTAAGTCCGGGTTAATCAGGGTATAAATCAAGTCTCATTTCGGAGCACCTCTTTACCAGAGTAAGCTGTGCTGTTTGAGCTGATTGGGATCTCGATCAAATGTTTGAAACATTTTCGTAATAATCATAATGCCTTAAGTTGACCATTGGCCTATATATGTACATACAGTGTATATACAGTGTATATACATATGTATGCATCCTTGCAACATTGCTTACGTGTATGTGTTTGTGTATTCGTAGCTTATGTATGTGTTGTATATGTTTTTATCAGCCATTTACTGCATAACAAGTTATCATGTCTCCTTCCTCCCTCATCCCTCCCAGGCAAACACACCCACGCCAACTTAACAGGCTAGAAGAAGAGCGCAACATATCGAAAAATCGAAGACAGCAACTGGTGCATATCCTTTTAACATCAACAACAAGAACAGCAACAGCAACAACAACAACAACAGCAACAACAACAACAACAGCAACAGCGACAACAACATTGTCATCGACTTGCACATTTTCTTTGCATTGACTGCGCTGCTGCTGCCGCTGCTCGCAGCCGGCAGCGGACAATGAACCCGCAAATGCAGTGTGCCCAATAACGTCAACTCACACACACACACACAAGCACACACGCACACACAGAGAAAGACAGAGATAGAGAGAGAGAGAGAGAGAGACACAGAGAGACACAGAGAGACACATCCTCCCTGCACAGGGCTTGACATGCATATCAGCAGGCAGAGAACGTCGACGACGGCGGTTGCAATGGCCAGAAGAACGTTGGCGTTGAGCACGGCGAGAGCGCAAGCGAAGCAGATGACAACTGAAATTCGAATGTGTTAGCTGTTAAATTCGCCTATCGTCAACATAACAACATTTTGAGTCATGTCCACACTTCGGTTTCCGTTTCCGGCATGCACTGACATCAACAAACAACAATCTCAAGATCAGCAATAACAATAAGAACAGCTCGTTGTAGCTACAGACAATTTGTGCTGAAAACATAATCCAAAAACGAACACAACCGCATCAGCATATATTATATAAACATATAATTATATAAACTTGTGGCATAAGCAAAAGGCCTATTTAAAATGGGCAGTCTGCCGAACTTGCACGAGCTGGAGGCAGCGGAACGCAAACGCGAGAAGCGCAGGGAGTACGAGCTGCTCCTGGAGCAGCGTGCAAGAGACACCAGCCGGGAGCGGGAGCGTTTGTCAATTTTCGCCCAGCAGCGAAAGGTGAGTTTCGATTACTGATGCCCATTGTTTCGATATATATATATATATATATATATATATTAAATTCGTTTATATTGGATATCCAATTAATCCAATTGGGAAGGCTTTCATACCCATGTAGATGGTATTATAATTTTGTCATGAAATATGTAACGCATTAAGGGAAACATCTCATCATCACCATGGACATACATACATATATATTCTTAATCCATATCACTGTCCGTCTGTCCGTCCTTTCATCGGTTAAAATTTTGTTGTCTACCTCAGTTTTACAGCTATCTTGATGAAACATGGTATAAATCCGTTTACTGGATTGCATCCCTATATATAAAGCTCCCATAAGCTGTGGATTATTTTAAAAAGTTGCTTTAGAATATGATTCTCGAAAATAAAAGATTATTTTATTATTGGCATTTTTTCTTGGTTTTGCTTTGGTTTTAATGCTTTTTTGGGAAACCATTTCTGTATATAACAGGGGAATCCGTTAAACGAGTCAACATAATGATTCATGAATCAGTTTTCCATAGCCGGAGACAGGGTATCTGGTAGTTGGTCACTCGATTAAATAATTGATTATTGTTTTTCTACAGCAATCGTCCTACAATGCCTATATTATGGCCGGCCTGGGCATCGGCGGTGGCTCGTTGAGCCTGACAGCAACGGCGACGGCGAGCAGTACGGTGGCAGCTAACGGACATGGCAGTGGCAACGGAGATCTGGCCAGTGGCAACAGTGCAAAGTCTCCAGCAGTCGCAGCTGTGGCACCAACAACGACAACGACAACAGCAACCGCAACCGCAACATCATCGTCGTCCGTGGCAGCAACTAAGATGCTGAGCAGCTTTGCAATGCTGGGATTGGTCACCAAGAAGTATTCGCATCCATACCATCCGCATCAGCAGCACCAGCATCAGCATCATCATCAGCAGCACCAGCAGCATCAACAGCATCACCAGCATCGGCATTCGCTTACCACAAGGCATCGCGTGCTGCGGACTCGAACACGCAGCTCGGGCGGGGCACAGAATCTGTGGGACGAGCAGATGATGGAGGTGAGTGCAAGGATGGCTGGGGGTTTTCGGAGGTGGATTGTGAATTGTGGATGGGATATATTGCCAATAAATGCTGCAGAGTGCAAACATAACACTGCAACAAATAATCGTAACATGCGTGCGAATTGCTCAATTTATTTGTAAACAAGCTGAACTGGCGTGGAAAGCTGCCCTTTATTAAGGCAGTCTCGACTCAAATTTGCCACGCCTGCTCTACAATGACTTCCTGGGGCATTAAATTTCAATCCTACACTGAGTACTGTTTAGTATATATATTTCTTATTTCCGAAAAATTTTAAGAAACAAAAATCTTTAATTTCGAAGATATTTTTTTCATATGTTTCAAAATTATTTTTAAAAGCACGGACCATTTTCTAGTTTTGAGGAAAATTTAAGTTTTATGGTAATTTTTTTCTGAGTGCATTCGTCGGAGATCCCTCGCCACATTTATTTATAGCTTTTGCTCTCGACTCTGTGCTACCGCAAGATTAGTGGGTTGCCAATTGTGGGTTGCTGGGTGGTCGCGGGGGGAAACAAACGTCAGAGCAGCAATCAGAACATTAACGGGCTTAAAGCTTGCACTTCCGCAATACATAATTAAAGTGTAAACAAAGATACACTGAAATGCAGAAAATCGCCGTTTTTATTATAAACATTTCTAATTATATGATATAAAAATTCCAAAATTGCTGTATTTTTCAGCAATTCATTTTTAAATTGTAGAAAGTATTTCTAACAAGTAAAAAATGAAATTCCGTCATATAAAATTTGCCAAAGGGCTGATTTTTGTTCAGAGTGTATTAGTTGTAGACGTGTAAGCAAAAATAGATTCCATTCAGCAGGTTGGCTGTGGCAATGACATTCTTCAAAGTGAAAAGTGTGGCAGGCAGCACTGCAATATTTGTATTTTAAATGGAATTTAAAATGTAAATTAGTCGAGGAGGATATCGATTCGAATCCCAGGCTACTGCGTAATCATCCTTAAATGTATATTTCCCAAATATCAAAATTACTTTGATCATTTTTATCCCTAGTTTAAAAAATATCGGCATTGTTAAAATTTAAATTTCCCCGCATTTAATCCAAAAAATGGGAAAATTCATACACATTTTGATGATAATAATTTTGTGAAGTTTAGCAGTGCCATCTAAAAGGTTAGATTTGGGAATTTCACCAATTGAAATTCAGAATCGGAATCGGAAGCTAAATTTAACATTAGCTTAAGACCAAAATTCCGAAACTGATATTATTTGTCGCGAAAAGACCGTATTGTAGACCGTATACCATCATAATGGTCGATCCCGTTACATATGTATGTATTATACGTCAATTTTACCGGCATCACATCGTAAAAGTCAAGGTACCCATTCGTAACCGATTACCTTAAACCAATTGGTAAAATTACCAGAATCTGATAAATATACAAGCAAACAAAGTAGTAACAAAAAATTAAATACCGAAAAGTAATGATTACACTTTATTTATTTATTTTATATATTTATTTCATAATTTATTTATCCTCGCAAAATTGATGATACACTCTAAATAAAAATAAAATAAATACATTGAAATAATCAATGCTTTTAATCTTAGACGATTAAATATTTGTCTTTCGAGAGTACATATTATCCATGTTGTTCTAGCCAGTATATATAGCCAGTCCAATATTTATTAGTAGACTCTCGTCTTACAAGTGCATTTTATGTTCAACAACTTGTCTTGAAGTTCATTTAAAATATAATATGTGCTGACAATAATAATTAAAAAACTCAACGTAAGCAGAAGTAAAATATTAAGTTTTCAGATTCCTCAAATACTAATTAAAGAAAACGCCGCATAAGGCTCCACATGTCTCTTTGCTTTCCAAAGGTGAGGACATGTTGACCAAGGCATTGGTGTCGTTACCAGTAATTTGAACACAGTGAACTGAGTATGCCATTTTTATGTATGCCCTCGATGAAATCATGAGCTTTATCTCTTATGTTACATACAAATGCATTTTTGTTTACTTTGTTTGACAGCATTTGGCCGCCTACTCACCGTCACCCATCTCGACGCGTTCGCATCGGATCAATCCGGTATCCTCGTACCAGGTGCAGGCGGCCTTGGCGGCATCACGACGTCGCGAATCGATAAACAGTTCGATTGGGGCAACATCGATCCGTCGTCTGATAACGCTGAATAATCGCAATTGCCGGCATAAGGTGCCCGCCCATGTGCGCCAGAGAGTGTGGCGGCAGTTCACCTGCCTCAGCATTGGCCACGGCCTGATGAGCGCCGTCCTGCTGCCGGTGATGGCGCTTCAGGGCTCCAATTCGGTGTGGCATCATCGCGAGCAGTGGCTGCCGCTCGGTCCAAACATTGGTTCGCTGCTGTTGAGCGCCCTATTCCTGCTCGCAGCCTGCACAAGTCTGCCCAGCACACGGCTCATCCGACGCTTTGGCTATACGCCGCTCCTGACGCTCAACTCTGTGGCTGTGTCATTGTTTCTGCTCTCGCATCTGTATGCCAGCATCTATACGCTGCTGCCGGCATATCTGCTGCTGGGCCTCACCGTCAGCGCCGCCACCAGCTGCAAGGCGGCCCTTATTGTCCACTATGGAGGCCGGTTGAGCTGCTCGCAGCAGGAGTGCACGGCACAGACGCAGACGCTGACGGCGTCGGATGCCTTGCATGAGGAGCACAAGATGTTCTGCAATCGTGATCAGAAGGTGCGTCGCTTGGCCCGCTGGTTTCGTGCCGCCCACGATATGGGCCTGATATTGGGCGCCCTGCTTGCCTCCCTGCTGCTCCACTGCAACGTTAATAATTCGAGCTGCCTGCCCGCAAATGGAACGGCCGAAAACCACTTGCCACAGCCGGAGAACTTTTACAATCGGAACGAGCACGGCGAACGCATCTGCGGCGCGGATATGTGCCCGTTGCTGGAGTCACAGTATCAGATGGACAACGGTTCACGATCCATCTACGCCGATTTCATTGAGAGCGGCGCCCGTGCCGGCGGGCAATCGCTGCTCTGGGTCTATGTGCTGCTGTCAGTGATGGCGCTGCTGCTATCGCTGGTCCCGGGTCGCCAGGTGCAGGTGCTGGTCAGCGGGCATGTGAGGTATGAGCGTGCCGCCAAGGATGTCACCGATACGCTTCTCTTCGCCGGACCGCTCTCATATTTTGTGGGCACCGAACAGGGATACATGCTCGGTGATTTTCTGCGCGCCTTCTTCTCCTGCTCCCTGGGCATTAGCCTGGTGCCGGGCGCTCTCATCGGCATGGGCCTCATGCAGCTCATCGTCTCCTGCACGCTCAGCATGCTGTTGCGGCACACTAAGCGCATTGTCGTCATCCGTGAGTATCCCACTCCCACTCCCACATCCACCCTCGACCCATCTTCTGATATATTTCCGTCTGTCTGTCTATCGACTAAGTTTTTCTCAGTCCTAAAGTTGTCATACTCAGAATTATCCGGATCCGAACATATACATGTATTTTCATATTATTATTATTATCTCCGTCCCCATCAAGTATACGTGTACATATATTCTTTATTAGCATCAGCAGCCGAACCGATATAGCTTCATATGTGCGTAGGTCCGTCCGTCTGTATGAATAAGGGGATCTCAGAGACTGTATGAGCTAGAGCTTGCAAATTTAGAATGTAAGTTCTTGTATATCACGCGCATATCAATTCTATTTTAGTTTATCGATAAGTCCCCTGTTTCGCGAATTTCGAGTCAAATCAATTTCCGTAACAGCCGTAACTATAAAGACACAGACTTCCAATTGATATGTAATAAATAGAAACTTGCACTGCATTTAATATTTTTTAGTACTTGTACCGATCACTTCCACACCTGCTTACATTTAGGTGTGCAATGAATAGTATTTGTAGTTAGCAGATGAGTTGAGGGTATCCTGTAGTCGAGCTCACTCGGCTATATATGTATTTCGATCTGGATATATCTTCCCGTTTGCTAATTATGCTTTTTGTTTGTGGTTTATTTTGCTGCTTCTGCTATTATTTTTGGCTTTGCAGTGGCTGGTTTCTTTTTCCATTCGTGCTTGCTGCTGGCGCTTTCCAGCTGGAAGCCATCGAGCGATGACAGTGCTCTGTTCTACGTGATAGCCGCCTCGTGGGGCGCCTGCAATGGGATGTGGGAGACGCTGCTGCTCTCACTGGTCACGCTGAATCACGTGCAGCACGAGCACGTGACGGAGGTGACGGCTCCAATGCAGGGACTTCGTTTCCTTGGCCTGGCCATAACATTTGCGGCGCACGGCTTCCTCTGTGAGTCGTTGAAGATAATTGCGCTCGTTGTGCTGCTGGTGATCTGTGTGCCGCCGTATGCGATGCTGGAGATGCGACTGGAGGCGCAGCGCAAGGCGACGCTCATCAGCTTATGACGCAGCTATTTCAGCTAGTCCCGGAGACGGGGCGCTGTGGCACGCACGCACACCATGTAGATGCGTATGGCGCCACAGGCTCAGCATTCAAGTGTTCGACTGATACCAAGGAATAGCCACGATTTCGGACACCGTCCCGTGCAACTCATTCAGTATTCAAACAGAGACAAAGAGACAAACGACAAGGAGATGAAGAAGAGAAGAAGCGAATGCAGTATTTATGTCAAAGATTTCCACCCAAACCCAAATTTTGTTGAGGCATGCCCCAAGTCCAAGGAATATATGCCAAGCCCAAGTCCATACACACAACTGTACTTAGCACGTACTCTGTATATATATATATATATATATATATATATATATATATGTAGACCCTATATTTACATATGTATCTATATGTCTGTAATGTAATCAAATATTCAGCCAGCGCCAGCAAAGTTGTTCGAAGTCTTTGAATTAACTGCTATATGAAATTTGAACAGACCGAGAGACGTCCCGCAAGCTCTAGTTGAATGTAATGAATGTAAATAGTGGAAAAGTATTAACCTTAAGACTTATTAACCTTATCAGCCCTAGGGCTTAAGGGATTATTAAAATACTATGATTAAGCGAGAACTCTGTGCCATATAAAAGTATTCCTCATTGTAAATGTAAAGGGCAAACTCTCTAATCGTAAGCCTGCATATACAAATATATATATATATATATATATATATATATATATATATATATACAGGTCCTAGATCCACACACACCCAATAGATCCTGTTCGAAATTTAAATTTCGCTTAAATCTAAATGTAAAGGAATTGTAATTGTGGGAAATTGAAATTGTGAACATGACTGAAGTATGAACTTGAGAGATGCAACTTGTTAGCTCCTAGAATGTATTCGTATAGTTTATCTTGTTATGTTATATATATATATATATGTATGTATATATGTACACGTATATGTTGGACGTATTTGTTGATTGTTGCAAACGAAATGTTTTCCCTATGCTTTCTTATCTCTCTCTCTCTCTCTTTCTCCACTTCCCCTTCATTATAAATGTACATTTTAAAACTCAATTGGGCAACAAGAAAAATATATATATATATATATATTTGGCAGTTATATTATAAATGTATAATCGCTAGGTTAGCCAAGGTGAAATCCTAAAGTCTAGGAACAATGTTAACATTTTATGCAGAAATGAAAGACAAATTTTTAAAAATCCACATTTTCTAATTGAAACTTTACATGGACAATTATTGGATCAGCAAAAGCTGTGGAAGTATTTCGAGTAGGCCAAAATGGAGCACATTATGGGTGCTCTTGTACTCCAGAGAGTTATAAAGTGTTTTTTTTATATATATACATATGCATGTACAAGAAATCAATTTCAGAAGATTTAAATCAATGTTGAAATAAATTTAAAACAAAACACGTAATTAAACCTAACCGAGTTAATCAAAAGCATACCATAAAAATACCTTTAAACAACTTAAATAAAACCAAATGAATTAAATAGTCATACACTTCTGAAATACAGCAAAATCTTAAACACATGCCACACACACATAAAAAACATTTACATATATTATGTAAACAATTTATGAATATGAATATGACAACTTATTTATATGTGTACAAAATCAATAAAGAGTTAAACCACATGGTTAACCACATGCCCGATTTACTCCTCTCATTAAGCAGTGCTCGTCATAAGTTTTCCACGTATTACACTCTAATTTTAGTTTTGTTTTCGTTGAGTTTCTGTTCAGCTCCTTGTGCATCATAGATCATCTATATATATGTATATATATATCTATATTTTTAAATTTACTTGCAATATGCACTCTCTTTCCGAGGAGTGAAACTCCATTGACCATGCTTGAAGCAAGTTGGAATTTCAACTTCTCTGCTTTGGACTTTTGTAGAAAATTAAGCACAAAAATGGCTTTCAAAAGTGATTGAAAATTAGGTTAATTTTTTCTGTTTTTTACACAACAAGCTGACATGCTGTGTTAGATAAATGGCGTTTAAAAATAAAAATTATATACACATATTACTCATAGAAAAGGTTTATCAGACGAATGCTTTCGCGTGTGGTGCCTGTCAGGGAAGAAAATATATGTAATATAAACACATACATTGGTAGTCCACGAATATAAGCTCCCAAAAATGCAATAATAATAAGAACCCTGGAAGTACTTGCTAGATTCATGCAAAAACAAGAGAGAGCGTTGTAGTCGGGTAACTGCGAAATACTTTGATGCCATAAGTAATACCAGCTTATAACAGGTAGCCAAGAATATGGTGGGTGAAGCCAAGAAATACCGTCCAAGTTTACCTTTAAAATTGCAATAAATGTAGGCTTTTGTGCATTTTGGAGGACGGAGCGGGTGTGGCCGAATGTATGGCACGATTTTAGAAATCTACACTCCAACTTTCCTAATTGTTGCTCTTAAATACTGGAAATAGAGGCTTTTATAGTTTTTGGGGGCTGAAGGGGGCGTGGTCCAAATGTCGCAATTTTAGCAATATACCTTTTGAATTTGGTGACTCTAGCTTTCAAATTGTGTGAGATATATGGATTTATCGATTTACACTAAGATGCTTATCGGCTTATCGCGGAGGTGAAGTGGGTGTGGCCATCTAATTTTGTATCGATCTCTTAGGGGAGTTACCAATAATATACTTTAAAAATTTGGTGAATCTAGCTAAGAAATAGTGAAAGATATGTGGACTCTCAATTTACATTTTCCGTAACTTTGGCGATTGTGGGCGTGGCCATAAAAAATTTTTCGCGTTCCTTATCAGTAATATACATACCTACAAAATTAGACGGTTCTAATTTAAAATTTGAATTTTGTAGGTGCAGCGGACCTGGGGGTGGCGGAAGTGGGCGTGGCATATGCAGTTCTTTAAAGGACTTCGCCAAGAAATTTGGTGACTGGAGCCTTATAATTGCAGAAGATATGTGGCATCATCGGTTTGCAATTATCGATTTGATCGACTTCATAGACCCCTAGTAAACGTAGCACCCCAATTTTTACAACTTGTCTGTCCCGGGCACAGACCAGTATATGTTCACAGTCTCAAGTCTCTTTCTCTAAGACAGACAGGCAGCATGAGGGAAATTGCACAAATCCAATATTCTATGAGACCTTCGGTGTCAAAATATAATGACTAAGCACTCAAAAGACTCATGCTATATTTGCTTTGTTTAATTTGAATACTTCTTTTTGTATATTACATACCCTCTCTATGCAAGCAAAAAGTCGACAAATGCCTCTATTTATGGCTGTCAGTGTAAGCATTTGTGGTCAATAAGAGAGTATAGCTTATTTACTTACAGCGCCATTGATGACGTCGATGCTTTCGCCAAAGCTCAAACCAGTCACTTACATTTATATATATATATATATATATATATATATTTAAGTAACCTATATAAATAGAGAGATAGATAGAGAGAGAGAGAGAGTGATAGAGAGAGCGAGCCGTTGATGAGAGAAAACTGCTGCTTGTTCGTTTCAGCTTGTTAGGCACTCGTCTTAAAAATGATTCAAAGCGGAGCTTATTAAGCACCCTCCCCCATCCCGTCCCCCATCAATAATCAAAGCTGTAAGCGAGCAGGTACAACTAGTTGAATTAAACATAGAATACAGGCGTATAAAGCTATGTGAGTGTTTACATTAGTGTGTGTTTGCTTGGGGTAAGCAAGCTTTTGGGGGCTTTATCAATTGAACGGCGCGATTTTTGACACAGTCGCCGCTCAGCTGCTCGGTGAAATCTACGTGGCTCGCATTGCGTTGCTGGCCGGCAACATCAAACGGCTGAGAGCCCATGACAAAGAACAATAATAACAAGATGATGACAGCAACAACAACAACAACAACAACTGCAAATGCCCAGGATGTGGAGGCCAAGTTAAGAGAACTGCAGAATTGGTTCGAAAACGAACCAAATTTGCCCGAAAAAATAGGTAAGTGCTATCTTATCGGACTATATATATCTTGCAAGTAATGGGATAGGTTCAATCTAAATGTGAATATATTGAATACATACATGTATACATAGATAATATGTGTGTACTTAATATATATAAACACTACATATGTAATAGGAAATAAAAAATGCATCCGAGTAAACCAAACCAATGCTGTAACTCGGTATGACAATCGCAGCTGATAGTGTTATCAATACAAATAAGCCCTAGCATTAGCTGTTGTAAAGATAAATCATTGCTCGTATATTTTTATGCATGTATGTATGTATATATACATGTATGTAGCGAGTATTGTTGATTTTAAAAGCGTATAAATACTTATTAATTAAATTCCTCATGCGAATAGCAGCATCTGTTTTATATACACAAGCGTATTCAAGAGCGCACACAGCTTTTCGCAAGGGGTGATTGGGGAGGGGAGTGAAAAGGGGTTTCTGGTTTTAATTATTCTTTTAATAGCCAGAACTCAATTTCAAAAACGAGTAAGCAAGATATAAAAAAGTTGTGCAAGTATGTAACCGGCTGAAGGAAGCTACTCCGACTCCATGAGGTCTATATTCTTGGTTGACATCAACCACTGAGTTGATCATGTCATTCCGTCCGTCTGTCTGTATGATTAAGCTGACCTCAGAAACTATCACAACTAGAGACTTCAAATATAATGTAAGTTCTCGTTTACTGTGCGAAACACGTATAGTGTGTGGTCGACACGGTGAGACGACGTTTAGAATCGCTCTGTTTGCTCTGGCGAGCAGGTCTTTATTTTGTTCAAATTTCTTAAACCTAAATACATTTGTTACTTATCTAACGCAGTCGCTTGTTAGGCGACTGCAATGTATCTCCTCTGCTACCTCTATCAGGGCAGCCTCAAGTACCTACCCTTGAGAATGCCACATGAGTCCGCTATCTGCTTCATAGAGCGTCACACTTGAACATACTTGAACATTTACCATACGCATATCGATTTTATTTCATTTTATCGATAACTTCCTCCGTTTCCCCAATAGCCATACAAGTCGATTACCGATAGCAAAAGCCAGAATTTTAAAGATATAGTTTTCTAATCGAAAACGTATACACGTTCACAAATAAAATGAATATTCTGTAACAATTTTATTCAGATTGATAGATAAATTCATGTGTTCAGGGTATCTCCAAGTCGAGCTCTCTCGACTCGATCACTTTTACTTCCTTATTATATGTATTGATAATTGTACAACTTGAATTTCTAATCACCAATTGCAGAGCCAATTTCATTGCTACGGTTTCTCAAGTGCGTGGAATATGACACAGATAAGACTAAAGCCCTAATCCAGTTGAACTACAGTCTGCGCAATAAAAATCCGAATATATTCATCGATCGCAACATGGACCATGAAATGACCGCCAAGGGTCTACGCGTATCGTATGTCAAAAACTCATTCAATTTGCATCGTCATTATCATCTCTCAAAAAATCCCTCCGATTTCCTTGCAGGGATCTAATCATTCTGCCGGGCGTTACACCCGATCGGCATAAGCTGCTATTATTTCGCTTGGCAGACCTTGATCCCAGAACGGTAAGCTTCATTTATGTATATAACTGTTTAAACTAACTTTTGGAATAATGATCATCAACACTATTCACTAGTTTCTTTTTTAATGCATGTGAACTCCAAGACCCTGGTCCTGATCCACATATTTTTTAAAGCGACAAGAGTGGAAAATATTTTTATCGAATATACTAGAATACAGATATACTAGAATATATCTTCCGGTATTAGACGGGCCCAAGTTTTTCTGTCCGTCAGGTAAATTTTTTGATATTATAAAAATGTGTACCGCTTTAAAAAAATAGTCGGATGTCAATATCTCCTAATACCTTTTTGTACACATTTTTCAATGCATTTTTATTTTAATCTTTTAAATACAATTTTAAACTAATTAGTTGAAAAATAATCTAGTTTTATGCTAACTAATTTTCGCCCATTTTGCGACAATTCTAAATGCGAATTTCTAAATAAGAAAGTAATGTTCTGAAAATCACATATTCAATATTTTTTAGAAGGTGCTTTGCAAATTGGCTTGCCAATTGCTCTTTTATACTTTTATTCTTTTGACCCAACCATTTTCCACTCAGGTTGGTGCACTTGCAGTCGTCAAAACATTTTCATAAGATCTGAAAAAAAATGTAAATGAATACTCAAAATCTGTTCCTAATGCTCACTTACGTGTTGAAAGGAAACTACTGTGAATATTGTAGTTAGATGGATAATTCATTAATTTCAACGCTTGAATCCCTAGCGCAACTCTGTGGAGGAAAGCAAAATCTTCTTTATGATGGCCGATGCACGTTTCACCGAACCCGATATTGAAAGATCGCCAGATGAGCTGTCTGCTCATGGTGCAGAAAATCATTCCGCCCACATTTTTGATGATGACATTGCTGATGGCGACGTTCAGATAGTTGATATCAGTGGCTATACAATGAGGCATCTGGCCTATGTATCTATCTTTGTGCTGCGCGTCTACATGAAGTTTCTACACGAGGCATATCCATCCCGTCTGCGCGCCATACATGTTATAAATTGTCCATCGTTCCTGGACCGAATGATGGCCATGATGAAGCCATTTATCAGAGAGGAGGTCTACCAAATGGTGAATGGAATTATAATAGCGCTTGCTCATCCAACCGTACTAAGCTGTTTTAAATGTCCATTCATTCATGTAGATCAATTATCACACCGAAGGCATGGACAGTCTCTATGAACTGATACCCCGGGATATGCTGCCCATGGAGTACGGCGGCAAGGCTGGCACAGTTGATGAAATTAAGCAACGTTGGTTGCGAATCCTTAAGGAAAAGACGTAAGTCAACTGTAACTGGCCTGTAAAATATCTGCTAAAATACAATCCACTTCATATGTGCATATTCCAGAGCCTATCTCAGCGATGAGAAATACTGGAAGGTAACATCGGAGAGTAAAAGTCGCTGGTCCTGGTTCTAATGCCTATGCATATATACTTCGCTTTAGTGGATTATTACAGTTATTACAGAGTTATTGCCGCAAATGTGATTATTAATAACTTAAGTGCTTACAATACAAAATATATTTTTACACGTTGTATGTATATGCATATTGTAATGGGGTAAGCAAGCACTATCCTTAGTGTTTGGTTTAAGTTTTTGCTGAAATACATAATTTGTTCAACCAATGTCCACCTGACTTTATTTATGCCAAAATTGTACACTTGTAGAAAATAATATATGTGTTTGGAATTTGAAAATATGGAATTTTTATACATATACAAACATATCTATATATTGGTAATACATGGTTTCTCTTGACTGATTGACTGATTCGTGTAAAAATTCGTACAAAACATTTCGAAAATTCCATTTATTACAGTTATTAGAATTATTGTAATTAGTGTTATTATTTAACAAAAAAAAAACAGCGTCCATTTCCAATGAAGCTTAAGGTCAATTAAAATCTGACTTCCAAGATTCCCAAATTTCAATAAAATATTTTTCAAAAATTAGTATATGGTATTTACCCAAAATTAATGGAGACAACCAACACTGACAAAAATACTCTTGAGCTTAGAAATTGCTTTGGTTTTGACAAAGCTGTAAATTATAATACCCCTTGTAAGGCATTTGATCAAGAAATATGTGTTGGCTCAAACTAAATTTATTTTAAAATGTATTATTACATAAGCATGAAAAGCAAGAAAACAAAACAAAAAAAAAAGATATATATAAATATATTTTGCTATTATTTCTTTATAATGCAAAATTGTTTGAATGTGTTTAGTTATTAGAAGTTGATTTGGCAATTTCACGTAAGCTACAGAATCTGTCGGTGCCCCTAAGCTGTGTGAAGATTTTGCATGAAGTCACCAGTAGTAAGTATTCAGTGCAGTATTCAATATAAAATGTCCGTCATATGGCTACACTGTCTCTATAGAGCTGCTCTTGAACGCCCTGATCCATGCGACACTTGGCATACGCTTAGTCCAAGAGGGCTATGACCCGACTATGATGTGGATCCATGTCCACAGCATGGTGTTCCACATGTAAGCACTGGGATTCTTTTAGTGCTACGCCACTCCGGGCTAACTATAATGTTCATTGTCCTGTTCATCGTCAGTTGTCCGTATTATTCAATGATCGAGGAGCCGTCAACGGTCAAGTACCATTTGAATATCGTTATGAGTGCCATCGAATCACTGCTCATTGTCACGAGACTGATGCATCGAACTGACGCCTACATTCTGTACACAATGGCAGCCGTTCCAGAAATACTGCACTCACTCGCCACGCTGAGTACATATGCTTCGTCCATGCTGCATTTCAGCAGCAGGTTGGTTTACTGCAAGTAAAGTTTTAATGGCCCATTAAATGTACGTACGTATATATATATATATATATATATGTCAATTTAATATATCAGAGCGGAGACATGGCCTAATGTTGACTATTCATTGTATAACTCATTAGTAACCCCATCGAATGGTATTGCTTGTTGATCAGTTATCAATTGATAATAATTGTGGCAAACGGTTTCATTTTCGTTTTCAGTTTGAGTTGACCAAAATTTCCAGGGCTCTATGTGAATTCTATGCACGAGCAGGTGATTAGATGGATGCGCAGAAGCTGTAACTGATGGGGAAGATACAAATTTAGGCACTATTAAGCCGCAACAATATGCCAAATGGAAGCGGAAAGCAATTAAAAATATGTACGTGTTTAATTGCCGGCTCGAGAGTCGAGAGTCCGTAAATATTAGAGCTTGGATACGCGCATATGTACGTATTCGCCATATCAATCAGTATTCGCATTTAAATATGTACACGAACAATAATGTTATCCAATATTAAAGGCGACACTCGCCCAGTCAGTTTGGCAGCAGGCTTCAAGCGCAACAGTACGCACAATATTTGCTGCGGCGCACACATTTGAAAACCGATTACAAGAGAACAAATTCGAATTCGAGTATTTTTCGCTTCGATAACGATACGATAACTCAAGCATGAGCAGCGATAGTGAAAGTGAGAATCAGCTGAGACGCGATCGTAATTTGGCCGAGCTTTGTGTGTGGTTTCGCGATAATGAGAGCTTGCCACAGGAAATTGGTAAATATCAAGTGGGACGTGTGTAGAATGATGCCCCCGACAACGGCTGATGTAATGCCAAAAAGGACGCAACTGAAGGGGGTTGCTGGGGCTGCCTGCAACAAACACAGCATGGGAGCTTGTTGAAATGTTGCCAGCCAGCCAGCCAGCTAATGTAAACACTACACTCGTCTCCACTGCTCTTGCCACTGACCGTATATGCAATAATATTTAATGAGGTCGTTAGCAGGCAAAGAAGCATTTCGCACATTTTGGTAGTCAGCTTGTGGGCGCCTGTTACGTCATAAAGCAACCATTTGAATATATATAAATTATTTGCGTGAATAAATCTTGATTTCTTTCATTTTTCAGAGCCTTTGCTGCTGCGACGCTTCTATCAGTGCATGTACGGTCATGTGGAGGACACCAAGAAGCTCATCGAGGTGAACTACGCGCTGCGCAACAAGCATCCACATCTGTTTATCAAGCGCGATCCACTTGACGATGACAGTCGCCGCACCTTTGACTATGCGTAAGCTGATTTCGCATCCCATCGCAGATTCTATAATTTGGCTGAACTTTCGATTTCAGAGATATTCTACCGTTGCCCGGTCTGACACCAGAAAATTATAAGGTCTCCCTCTATTGTTTCAGAGACTTTGAACCGTCGAAGGTAATCTTACCAATTAAAAATGTTCACTGCGAATTATTTATGCTCATGCACGGAGAACTTTCATTAAGTCTCGAAATGTTCAAAGCATTTTTCAAATATAGCAATCAGTCAGAAATGCAAATACCAATCTATTTTTAAGCAAAATCTGTAATTAAAATCCGTTCCCAGTGATGATTGTCGAAATTATACATATTACACTAGTGTTTTGTCAGTGTTAGTGTCAGTCTGCTTCCATGTAAACTATTCATCCATTAATTTTTTTAAGCTTTCTTTATCAAACTCGGTCCCAATCCAGCAGTGTGTGTTTGTTTTAAAAAATATGTTGATCAAGTGAACTAATACAATAATCGCATTGCTTGGCAATGTATATTTAATTTTCGATGTCCCCAAGATAACATAATTTTGTATTACTTTCAGATGCATCACACGGAGGATACGCGAGCATTTTTCATGGTCACAGACTGTCGCTTTATAACGGTCGATGATCCGGCTCGTCCCGAGGTCCTGTCGGAGGGTGAAGTGCAGATATTTGACATGAAGGGCACCACCATGCGTCACATATCGCGTCTGACGATTAGCACGCTGCGAGCATATATTAAGTTCCTGCAATTAGCGTTCCCAGTGCGGCTTAAGGCCATTCATATGGTCAACTGTCCCACGTATATCGATCGCATTGTGAGCGTGGTGAAACCGTTCATCAGCGATGAAGTCTTCAAGCTGGTGCGTTTCTTTACACCACCATCGCGAGCTGTTGTCGTCGAATATAGTTATACTTAAATTGTTATTTTAGATACGCTTTCACACAACCAGCATTGAGACACTGTACACGTTTGTGCCGTGCGAGATGTTGCCCGAAGAGTATGGCGGCTTTGCCGGGCCGCTGGCCACTCTGCGGGAGCAGACACAAAAGGTGCTGCTCGAGAAGCGGTAGGCATATGAGAATCTCATTATCTAAAGTGTACCACTGAATAATGCTTAAATTTTTCAGAGAATACTTAATGAATCCCAATCATTGGCTCGTTGAGAAGCCCGAGAAACGTAGCGGAAAATCGTGGAAACTATTTAATTAAGTGGCCTGATTCCTGCTCACCTGAAACATTTATTTTTTTTTTGTACTGTGTAATTTGTTTCTAATTGTGTAGCTTTTGTATTGACTATATTATATATGCATATGTTTATTTGTATCTAATAATTAAAGTCTGGGATTATCCCTTGAAGGGTTATTACACTGAAATTGTCAAAGGGGCGTATATTTTATTACTTCCGTTATGTGGATATATTTGTCTAGTAATTCTTATTTGAGTCACAGTTAATTATGTAATTTTTAGCACAAATGTATCAAAAGGAGTAATTATAAATATACAAAAATGTGTTACAAAATAAATTCAATACTTTGTTTAAATACGTTGATAACGCGTTATCGCAGCATAGTCGTTTGTTATCGAATTGAACTCGATAACAATGTAGACATACTGTGAGTGGCAAGCTGATGGGAAGAAGCAGCATTCGCAATTGACACATCGCTAATGGTGTGTTTGTGCTGGAATCAGCCACAACGCGTAGTGCACAAAAAACCGAGTCGACTAAACTTTGTTGATAATCTGAATTTTAAAAACAGCAAAAGAGTTAGACTCAAAACAGAGCATGGATCGTCCACAGAAAATGCCCAAGGTGGCAAAGGTATGTAGAACAAGCGCGCAAAGTAATTTTCCGGCATTGTCGCAACATAAACGTTTGGGTTTCAGGTGAAAAACAAAGCGCCGGCCGAGGTGCAAATCACCGCGGAGCAGCTGCTGCGCGAGGCCAAGGAGCGAGACTTGGAGATACTGCCGCCGCCGCCGAAGCAGAAAATCTCAGACCCCGCCGAATTGGCCGACTATCAACAAAGAAAGCGCAAAACATTTGAGGATAATTTACGCAAGAATCGCATGGTGGTCAGCCACTGGATCAAGTACGCCCAATGGGAGGAACAGCAGCAGGAGATTCAGCGTGCGCGCTCCATATGGGAGCGGGCGTTGGACAACGAGCATCGCAACGTTACCATCTGGCTCAAATATGCCGAAATGGAGATGAAGAACAAACAGGTGAATCACGCCCGCAATTTGTGGGATCGGGCCGTCACCATAATGCCGCGCGTCAATCAGTTCTGGTACAAGTACACCTATATGGAAGAGATGCTTGAGAATGTCGCTGGAGCTCGGCAGGTCTTTGAGCGCTGGATGGAATGGCAACCGGAGGAGCAGGCCTGGCAGACGTATGTCAACTTCGAGCTGCGCTACAAGGAGATCGATCGGGCGCGCGAGGTCTACGAGCGTTTCGTGTATGTCCATCCCGATGTGAAGAATTGGATTAAGTTTGCCCGTTTTGAGGAGACGCACGGATTCATACACGGCTCGCGTCGTGTCTTTGAGCGTGCGGTGGAGTTCTTTGGCGATGACTACATTGAGGAGCGTCTGTTCATTGCGTTCGCACGGTTCGAGGAGGGCCAGAAGGAGCACGATCGTGCGCGCATCATATACAAATATGCGCTAGATCATCTGCCGAAGGAGCGCACCCCCGAGCTCTTCAAGGCATATACAATACACGAGAAGAAGTATGGCGATCGGGCGGGCATTGAGGATGTGATTGTGTCAAAGCGCAAGCATCAATACGAGCAGGAGGTGGCCGCCAATCCGACCAACTATGATGCATGGTTCGACTATCTGCGCCTCATCGAGGCCGAGGGCGACAAGGATCTCATTCGGGAGACCTACGAGCGCGCCATAGCCAATGTGCCGCCGGCGAACGAGAAGAACTATTGGCGCCGCTACATCTACATGTGGATCAACTATGCCCTCTACGAGGAGCTCGAGGCAGGGGACACGGAGCGCACCAGGCAAATCTACAAGACCTGCCTCGAGCTGATACCCCACAAGCAGTTCACTTTCAGCAAACTCTGGCTGCTGTACGCCCAGTTCGAGTTGCGCTGCAAGGAGCTGCAGGTGGCGCGGAAAACGCTCGGCATGGCCATTGGCATGTGTCCGCGAGATAAACTCTTTCGAGGCTACATCGATCTGGAGATACAGATGCGTGAATTCGATCGCTGTCGTCTGCTCTACGAGAAGTTCCTGGAGTTTGGGCCCGAGAATTGTGTCACATGGATGAAGTTTGCCGAGTTGGAGAATCTGCTCGGCGATTCGGAGCGTGCCCGCGCTATTTTCGAGCTGGCCGTGCAGCAGCCTCGCCTGGACATGCCCGAGCTGCTCTGGAAGGCGTATATTGACTTTGAGGTCGCCCTTGGCGAAACGGAGCTGGCCCGCCAGCTCTACGAGCGCCTGCTGGAGCGCACGCAGCATGTGAAGGTCTGGATGTCGTTTGCCAAGTTCGAGATGAGCAACAGCCATGGCGATGGGGGGGATGCCGATGCCGATTTGAATGCACGCCTCGCTCGCCGCATCTACGAGCGGGCCAACGAGATGCTGCGCCAGCTGAATGACAAGGAGTCGCGTGTGCTGCTCCTGGAGGCGTGGCGTGACTTCGAGCGCGATGTCAACGATGCACACTCGCTGCAAAAGGTGCTGGACAAGATGCCACGGCGCATTAAGCGGCGACAGAAGATCATCTCCGAGGATGGCGTCGATGAGGGCTGGGAGGAGATCTTCGACTATATATTCCCCGAGGATGAGATGGCGCGACCCAATCTCAAACTGCTCGCCGCCGCCAAAATGTGGAAGAAGCAAAAGGACAACGATGAGGATGCGCTACCTGCTGCATCGGATCCAGCTGATGCAACAACATGTCCTCCTCCTCCTCCTCCCTTAGCTGCAGCTAATTCAGGAGCAGCTGATGCATAACCAAGGCCACTGTTCCCATCCACCTACCTCCTCCCCTTTCTTTAAAATTAAAATATCAAATTTACATAGAATTTGTGTACTATTTTTATTTTTATTTTTCTTTCCTTTTTTAGATTTTAGGTGATTTTTACTAAGGTTTGCTGGGTTTTTAGCCAAGCTGGAAGATTTATGACAAGGTTTTTGACTAATTTAATTTTAAATGACTTTCTAAGTATCTACATAGAATAACGAAGTACTACATAATCATTATAAGTTCTAAGGAGACTTTTTATAAGACTTTTCCGTGGTTTTAGTATTTTTAACCCGAAGAGCTAGGAAAATGTGGAGCTAAAGTACATTTAAGGCACTAGGTTTGAAAGGATCTTCAGGTTTCAATTCTGCACAGATTTCACATATATAGTATCAAATGTTTTGACTAGGGTATGTGTTACTATTTATACTAGGGTCTTAAAAGTTTGTAATTTATTAAAATAAAACAAGTAGAGGACAAGTAAAGAAAAATTGAATTAAAAAAAAAATGAGAAAGGGGGTACTACTGTACTAAGTTCGCAAAGGACTGCAAATAAATACTTGAACAGCAAGATAGTTTAATAGGCACAACTGGGAACTGCTACGAATTATATACTTTAGTATACCCTTTCAATTAATTTAACTAAGAGCAGCAATGTGAAGACATGTAGGTGAAGAATTTCGACATTGTCATCAATGAAAGTGCACAGACAGAGTCGCACCTGCGTCGCCGATTGATGATCGTATAGAGTTTCCAATTCCCCGTACACTCAGCTCCAGTGCTCGTGTGTCTCGGGTAAGAATACAGAGAAACGCCGTCGGATTCGAATAATTCGCCCAGAGCTGTATAAGCACTCCATGTGGAGTAGCTGGATGGGAAAGGCGTATCCACCGCTACTTCCATATTGATTGGCTTCTGGCTTCGTATCCGAATCAACCTCTTTGACTACCTTATTGCATTGTGTCAAACTGATTGAGTCAAGACGATGTGTCCACCTTCTCACCATTGTGCCTATACATGTATATCTGGATAATTGCAGGACAAGGCAAAAGCTAGCAAATTGTCCCACGCACACACACAAATAATAACAAAAGATCAACCAAAAAGAATTGCATTTAAGTTCGGTTTTTATTTGTCGTATTTGCAAAATTTGTTAATTATTTTCTTCTTTTTTTCTGGTTCGAGAGTCGAGCATTGGATAAGGGTGGACATCTGGGTTGCTTGGATGTGCTGGGGAGGGGATGATATGGGGTATTCGGGTGGGTCGGTAATGTTGCACTTTCTAAGCGAAATTACAGGTTTTCTTTTTTTTTTGTGCAATAAAATGAATAAATGAAATGAACTAATTATCAAGTGTCATCAAGTCGTTCACGTGGATAGATATTTTTAAGGACTGGCACCACAATTGTTTGTGTCTGGCATCAACTTTGTTTTTGAATCAATTGTCAAGGGACAATTAGAAATGGTCCCGACAGACGACATGATATGAAACCTAAATAACAATTCGGATAGATAATACACAATAAACAACAACAACAACAATTATTATTATCAACAACAATAATCGTTGACTTGTAAGTAAGATGTCCATGACTGTAGGATGGATTTAATGGGGTGCCAATAGTTTCATAATAAGTAGAAAACCTTCATTTTCATCGACTAAAGCAAAGCTGTCTTCGGGCAACCTACTGAATACTCTGGCGAAGACCAACTGATTCTATGTGAGCCACGTATGCAACTCCTGAATTTCCGATTGTAGCTATATTTTACTAAATGACATGATAGTCGGATCTTGATAAAATTTATGGTGAGTTTGGTCAAGACAATGTATATTGCCATAAAATAAATGTGAAATAAAATCCACCGAGTAATCCGGTGACAGAAGTATGGTAATGTGACCTGGTCCGATCCGACTCGCCTTAGACATACAAATGAACAAAATCGAATATTTTTTTCTTTTTTTCGACACTCGACTGTAGATATTAGATAGACGGTCTTATTTTCAATATTCAATTTTTTGTACACATTTGGGACACAATACACGGATATGATGTTGCAATGCGGTATTTTTATCATTTCGATATATTGGCTTAAGCTCACGTAAAATTTTTTACACTAAGGAGCTCATTTCTGGTAAAAGTTGTCACTCAAATGCCTGTCATTATGGTTGCGGGCTCAAATCCTTACAATATCAATATTATCTTAGTCTTTGCTGCAGGGCTTGTTAAAATTAATGTTGTTTAATGTGTTGTAACTACATGCAACAATCGCAATAATCATAAACTATTTCATGGAACCGGGGATCACGACAACAATGAAAATGTCGAAACTCTAATATATATATATATACATATACATATACATATATATATCGTGAGTTCCGCGCCCATCTTGGATATCTATTAAGAAAAATGTGAAGTATGTATGTATGTATGTGTATATGTGTTTTGTTTTGTATATTTCGCAGATAGTTATGTATATGTTGGTTGTTTGTGGTTTTCATAGCATTTACATAATCTCAAGAGACGTAGGTATACATATTTGTTCGTATGTAGATATATATATAGTATGTATGTATATGTAAGTATGTACACAAGAATTGCAAAACTGATTTGATCTATAAGCAATAAATATATATAGTATGTAATTGTAGATGTAGATAGTTAGTTGGCTAGTTAGTTAGTGATAGGATGGCCTTAAGAAACTTGGACAGTATAAAGCTATGCTGCGTGGGATGTGCTCGTTGGATGCGATTGCGATTGCTATTTTTTTTATTCTTTTTTTTTTTGTTTTTTGGTTAACGGAGAAAAAACACAAAAACAAATCGTCGATGCACACAATGGATGATACATTAATTAACTAAATCTCTTTGAGGTTGTTTAACTCAAATCTTAATTTTGTAATTTTTAAGAATTAATTTAAAAATACAATTAAGCAAATACTATGATTATCATAATAATTAGTTGTTTACAAGACAAGAAACATTGAGTTGCTAAACTTTTGTTATAATTTCTTTTGAAGTTTTTCCTTGTTGTTTTCCCTTTCTTTTTGTTGTTGCTGTCGATGTTGGTGTTGCTAAATTCAATTTAAAACAAAAATAAGCAAAAGCAATAAGGAAAGTCTTCAAAGATAAGTGCAAATATTAACTAGTTTACAAACTGGCGCTCAAAATTGCAAGTTATCGCTTCAATTTTGTTTATTTTCTGTTTCTGTTTCTGTTTTCTTAACATTTTTCCAGTTTTTACGTTACATTTTACATTACATTACGTTAGAATTAACAGTAATAATACATACATACAGTTGAATGGCGAACAAACAATGAAATCCAATATTCTTTTCAAGATATTTTCCTCTTTTTCTTCTTTTTTTTATACTGACACTCAAGCACAACTTAATGCAGTGTACAGCTATTTAAATATTTCTCCTGTTTCTTCTGTAGATTTGCGTTACATTTATTGAATTAAGCTCAGTTCTCAGTCGCAAAAATCAACAATACGACACAAAAGTTTGGTTGTTTTCTTTTTTTGGCTGCATTTGCTCATCGAGAAGAAGTCTTGTTGCTTGTTTCTTTATATCGTTATTATTATTATTATTATTATTATTTGCTTTGTTGATTGTTTGCACAACCAAAAATTGTATAATAATTCCTAAATTTCATATTTCCTAGTGTTATTTTTGTGTTTAAGCTTGCTTGTTTCATTGTTTCTATGTTTCGTTTGGAGGGGAGTTGAATTCATAAATATTCCAGGCGAACAAAAATAAATTAATCTAAATTTAAATTGAAAAAAAGAGTTTCTCTTTTAATTGTTAGCCGTTTTGTTTTTGTTTTTTTTTCTTGTTTTTTTTTTTTTGTTTGTTTGTTAAATCGCCGGCTGTGGCTGTTGCTCTGTCTGCATTTTATTTGCACTTAATTCGGTTTGATTTTGGTTTTTGCTTGGACTTGTGGAATAGTTGCATCATTTGTGTTTCCGACCTTAGCGGCAGCGTTCGGATTTGAATTTGCATTTTTCTCATTGTCTTTGTCTTTGGCATCCTGCAAAAGAATAATGTATTGATGTATGCCAACGATATATTAGAAACAAAAAAACAACAAAAAAAAAAAACAACAAAAAAACAAATATATCATAACTGCTACAAACTAACTAATAAAGCACTTCCTTAACTCAATTACAAGAGCTTGGAACTCAAAACTAAAGCCTAAGCAAATCTGTTGTGCCTGATGTATGTGTGTGCGTGTATATGTGTGGGCGTAATGTTTTGTCTGTGCGTGATCGCTGTTTGGCTATAATGAAGAGATTTGAGATGCATTTTGAATGGAATTTGAACTTTGTTTCTCTTGTGTCCGTCGGGAGAGTGATTGATAAAATATATATATTTATAATATTTGCTGGACAATTTATTGAACGTTACCTTGGCCATCACCGTGGCGGCCTCCTGTTTTAGATACGTCTCGCGCGCCGCCTCATACATGGAAACGAATTTGTCCCGCTGCACTCTGTACTGGGCAAAGAGGTCGTCATCCTTGTTGCCTTTTAGGCGATTCTCAATGTCGAGCTTGGCGTCGTGAACGGCGCGTATTTCATCATTGACCCAGGGCTTGTCAATGGGATACTGATTCACCAAATTCTTAAGCGTTTTGATCGTGCTCTTGCCTTTGACCGCCTGTTTGATCAGCTTGGGATTTGGCTTCTTGATTTTGCCGCCGTTCATATTGCCGTTCATGTGGCCCATGCTGTAGGGTCCGGGGCCGGGACAGCCGGGTGGCATGCTCCGTGGTGGCATACGTGGTCCCATTCTGTGTGGTCCCATCAGCGGCGGCGGCGGCAGTGGCGGATGATTGAGACCGCCACGTCCGTTGCGACGCATAAATGGCGGAGGCGGTGGGCCACCCATTGGTGGCATTGGGCAGCGCATGGGCGGCATTGGTGCTGGGAAACGCATTGGTGGATATGGCGGCATTGGGCCGCCACCATTTGGACCCAGGACCCCACGTGGACCCATCGGGCAGGGTCCTGGACCCATGGGACCCATCATGTGACGACCGTTACCGCGCATCGATGGTCCCCCTCCACCTCCACCTCCCATTCGGCCCCGGTTCGGCAGCGGCATCGGTTCATCAAAGCGTTTGCTATTAGGCGGATGGAACCGCGGTATCCAGCCATTGTTGCCATGCATTTGCATCTGCATCTGTGGCGGATACTGCATGTTGTGCGGATGCTGCTGCTGGTGCTGATGTTGCTGGTGGTTTTTGTTGCCTTTGACCTGCTTACCTTTAAGCGGCTTCTTTTTGCCCCCATCTGCCTGGCCCGATGCAGAGCCAGAGTTGCCGGTTGCCGTCGCGGATTTGGTCGGTGGTGCTGGCGTCGGGTTATTGAAGTCTATGTAGAGCGGATCGCTGGGCATCTGGCTGGATGAATACATCATTTGATTCGCTGCCTGCGCCTGTACCCGGGGCCGGAATGGCTTTCGGTACGGTGCGATTGCGGCACGTAAATTTGAGCGTTGCGGCTGTTGCATTGCCCGGTTCTGTTGGAAATTATGATTACCCTTGGATGCCATTTGTGTGGCAAGTGAAAAAGTATTTGATTGGCTCACTCTCTGCTCCGACTAATTGCCAGAGTCGCAAACAACAGAACCAATTCTATCACACGCTTAAATATTGCTACTATATTGTCGTTGTATATTTCGTAGAGATGATCAACAAATTTACGTACCTGTGACTGTCAAAACTATCAACTATCGATAAATTAAGTTGCTTGCACAATTTATCGAATTTTAAGACCTAGTTTGAAAATGATTTTTATGCGCTTACGAAATGTTACGGTACATTAAAAAGTAAACTATCAACTTAGTACTAATTTAATGTTAGTTCAGTTTTGATTAGACGGATCGTGATAGGTTTAGGCGTACTTGTCAACCTCTCTAACCCAATATATAGCTAGTAGAGAATCACAAAATATCTAATTAAAATTATTTTAATACGAAAATTTTTACAAAACGAATAACTCTTTTCTACAAGAGCATGCCACCATCGGCATGCCAAACATAACTGTTCTTTCTTGTTTTTGTTTTTAATCGTTTTCCGAGGAACATGAATATTTAAAATGATAGTTAACATATACATACCAAGTGGTTTAGCTCATCAATTTTTTGATTGTGATTGCAATTTAAGCTTTTGACACTTTATCGATTGCTTTTTGCAAGTGTGTACACACTTTTCATATGGCTTCAATTTGAACATACCAACCGAGACACAAAAATATCACAATTAAACCATGTGAAAATGGCTAATTCAGTATATGATTTTATAGCTTCTACTTAGCATAAATGACTTGATGTAATGTTTTTATTTTTCTTAAATTCATTTGTATGCTTAACAGCTTTGATTTAGTTATGGTGTGTAACCACTGTTCACTGCGCAGTTCAGAACAGCTGTTTTGTCGAACTGCAATGCGGCTTGTGGGCGTTGCGACTACCACCTACAGTTAGCTAGCTATTAGAAGACGAAAGGAGTTTGAAGATCTGACAACGCCATCAGCGGTTGCACGGTCGCTAGATTGACTACAAGTCTAAAACCAAACAAAGACAACAGCAAGAGAGCCGGACCAGGATTAGTCATGTTTCCATATTTGCGTAGTCATCGCGTCAATTTGCAGCTGCTGCAGGAGAAGTCCTGTCGAGATCTGGTGCAGTTGCTTGAGTCCATCGAGGGCACCAAGCTGATTGTGCTAGATGACAGCATGATCGGTCCGTTGGGGTTGATAGCGAAACCGAAAATATTCGCAGAACGGGGCATTAAGCTGCTATCCCTGAAGCCGGAACAGCACTTTCCCAAGGAGTCGCAAAACATAATCTACATAATTCGGCCACAGCCATCGCTGATGGATCACCTGGCGAACCATGTGAAGGCAAACACACAGGCGGGTCGCCTCTTTCACATCTTCTTCGTGCCGCGCCGCTCATGCATGTGCATCAAGAAGCTGGAGAACAAGGAGGTGATCGGTGCATTTGGGTGCATCGAGGAGCTTGCCTGGAACTTTCTGCCGCTAGATTCCGACCTTGTCAGCATGGAGACAGCGAGTGGGTATCGCGATGTATGCGTCGATGGCGACACCACATCGCTTTACCAAGCAGCCATTGGGCTGGTGCAGTTGCAACGACTCTACGGACGCATACCCAAGATCTATGGTAAAGGTGTGCAGGCCCAACTGGTTTGGGATCATGCCAAGCACTTGGCCATCGATGAGAAGGCGCTGTACAATGGCGACAAGGGCGCCATCGATCAGCTCATCTTGCTGGATCGAGGCATCGATCTGCTGACACCGCTGGCCACTCAGCTCACCTACGAGGGCCTCATCGATGAGTTCTTTGGCATTCGCCAAAATCAATTGACCCTCCCAGCGGAGCATTTTCCATCGTATTTTGCCAGCGGTGGCGACTGCACCAGAGATGCAGCAGGTAATGGTGTCGATTCGGAGCGGAGCCTGCTGGGCGACACAGATCGCAAGACGATCATGCTGCATTCCGGCGAGCAGCTGTACGCCGAGCTGCGCAACAAGAACTTCAATGAGGTGCGAATGCTGTTGGCGCTCAAAGTGAAGGACATCCAGTTACAGATGAATGTGAATCGGCAGGGGCAGTCGGTGCAAGAGATAAAGAGCTTTGTGGATCGCCTGCCGCAGCTAATGGAGCAGAAGAAGGCAACGTCCGAGCATACGGCTATTGCCAGTCTAATTGATGAACACCTGAACGTTCACTCGTTCAACGATGACCTGGCTGCCGAGCAGGAGTTCATGATCTGTGCCGACATTGACAGAGCGAGCGCCTACATTGAGGACCAGATTGCATGCCGGGCCGAGCTGCGAAATGTGCTGCGTCTCATTTGTTTGCAGTGTGCGGCCGGCTCTGGCCTAAAGGAGCGTGTCCTCAACTATTACAAGCGTGAACTGGCCCAAGTCTACGGAGTCGAGGTGCTCTTAAGGATCAGCAATCTAGAGAAGGCTGGACTTCTGCGCACACAGACCGAGTCGCGTGCTTACGCCGTGCTCCGAAAGGTAAGAACCGAACAACGAATCCAACGACTAACGAGTGAAAACTAGCGAGTAGCGAGTAACGAGTGACGAGTGCAAATTATACAATAAGTAATTATTGATTGCATTCCTTCCACAGACCCTACATCTGACGGTCGATGACATCGTTGAGGTCAATCCGCATGACATTAGCTATGTGCATAGCTTCTATGCACCGCTGACCGCACGGCTCGTCGAACACTCATTGAAGCCACTCGGCTGGCAGACGCTCAAGAGCCAAATCAATAATTTACCCGGCCCAACATTCGAGGACTTTCAGGTGCAGTTGATTGGGATCGGTGGGCGGCCAGTGGTCGGTGCCACGCCCAGCGAGGCATCGCTGATGCATGCACGACGCGTTGTGCTCGTCATGTTTGTGGGCGGATGCACTTTCGCCGAGATCGCAGCGTTGCGCTTCCTCGCCGCCCAGGAGGACAACAATGTGGAGTTCTTAATTGCGACGACGAAGGTGATCAACAAGCATACATTCCTCGACAGCCTGTTGAGCTTGTGAAGCCATCGCCTAAGCCGCTGGGAGGCACACTATTTATGCAAGGCATGTGGCCTGAAGCGCGGGCGCAACGCCGCCTCTCTCCCGAAGCCCTGACCCTTACTGTTCCGCATAGAGCAGAAGCGCAGCACTGGCTACAGATCGTATCAGCAACCAGATTAAGCAAATGAAGAATTATATATATTTATACAACAAACTCCTATATAAAACAATGCGAATTCAGAGTGTGCAAATTCTACATTTCCGTACCACTTAAACACACACACACGCACAAGAAGCAAATACACACACGTGTGTGTGTGTGTTTCGTAAACCGTTAAGTATGCATATATGTACACATTTATATATGCCGGCAAATAATTATATTTATGTATACCCACAGGTATTTCAAATGTGTATATATATGTACAGTTTGTAAGTGCAAAAGCTTTCGAAATTCCTTATGTGTGTAGGCAATATATATATATATATATATATATATATATATATATATATATATATATATATATATATATATATATATATATATATATATATATATATATATATATATATACTTTGTACCTGTGTACATATAAAACTAGCTCAATACACAGATTGCAAGTCAACTAGAAACTATAAAAGAACACTCTTTGTCCTATACACGTATAACATGTAATGAGCTATGTGTAGTTTAAATCTTGTAAGGGGGCAACAATCGATGCAACATGCCGCAAACACCAAAAGTGGATTGTTATGCATACAATTCATTTTAAGTGGTTGCGGAATGCTGCCCATTATTCCCACATCACAAAGGATATATATAGTCTACAGTTTTGGATCAATTATATAGTACATCTGTCTGTGTGTATAAATAACCTAATACAGCATTATTGAGTTCAATAAACAAACTGTAGTCTCAATTTATGGTCAACCTGCAGAGGATGAACATCGTAAGTAAAGATTTCAGATGAGGTGCATATGTAAACTTTTTATTAAATGACTGAAAATAATGTTTTCTATATACATTTGTATAATTCAAATTGCATGTCCAATTTCAGAGATTTCTACTAGTGTGGACGAGCAAGAGAAAGTTTCTCTAATTTCTGAAAGTTCCAATTTCCAAGCGACAATAGGTTTTTTTTTTTTGTATTTTACCAAACTAAAATGATGTCTGTAAAGATTCGTTTTCATTTTGTTGCTTAGTTCTCTTCATATTTTCAGTAGTGTAATAAAAATGCATAAATATGTATATATATATATTTTTTTGTTGTTTTTTTATGTTTTATTTTATTGACGTGTATCAATTTAATTGTTATTCGTTTTTCCACTTCAAAAATACAATTTAATAATAATAATAAAAAAAAAACAATTTTATAAACATAAAAAATATTACATATGTATGTTCTGTGTTCTCTGTTTCCCACTTCCCAAAGCGCTGCTCTATTGTTATCTATCTCTCTCGCTCACTCGCTCTCTCTTCCTATCTCTCTCTCTCTCTCTCTCTCTCTCTCTAGAATGCCTTCTCTGCCTAAATATGTTTATAAAGTTATTTCTTTGCATTTGTTAATTTCGGTTTTATGCTGTTATTACCTTACTAAATCCATGCAAAAGTAACTAGTAATGCACTAGAATAATACTAATACACATTCATGATCATTATCATATACTCATATACTCATATCGCATATCATAAAATATTATATTTTGTTTTCTGCTTTTCCATATCTATGCACGTATCCCATTCGCTCTTGTCTTTATTAATTAATTGCTAGCGGAAAAATGTTTTTTGTTTTGTATTTGTTGTTTTTCTTCAGCTTTTCTTGTTTTTTGTTTTTTTTTTTTTTGTTTTTTGTTATCATTGTTTAATAAAAATTGCATTTCTACAAATGTTAAATGTTATACGATCGTATCTTAAGATTGGGGCTTTTGATCAGTGATCATGGGTGTGTGTGTGTGTGTTGGGTGTATATTTATTTGTATGTATACAACAAAAAAAGAACTTCTCACATAAACATAAATTGTAATTAATTAAACATTCATATGCATTTAATTTTCTATACAATTTTTATTGTTTTTGACTAAGCATTTTGCAATTTGCATTAATTAAGTCTATAATAGGCTTACTTTTAGTTGTTTTTTTTCTTTTGCTTTTTGTTTTGTTTTTGTTTACTATTTTATTATTTATATTGTGTGTTTTTATATTTGTTTTATAAAGCAAGTCCGAAGGAAAACGTAACGAAAAAATTGAAAATTTCGAATTCAACAACATGCAAAAATGGCGCCAAGCAATTGCTCAATCAAAAGTGTGTTGAAATCTGCTAGCTGATTGTTTCTCCTGGGCATGGCAGGAGAGTTGCTTGCTTCTTGCTTCTCGCTCTCTCTTCTCTCTCTCTCTCTCTCTCGCTCCCTCTGTCTCTCTCTCTCTTTTGCTTAGTTTATTGACTGATTTAGCAGTGGGAAGTCATCCTCAGTGGTGAGCTTCGATTTCTCTCTCTCTCTCTATATATATATATTTCTGATACACGAGCTCGTGTATGTGAAGACTGCACCTCGTTCACCTCTCCGCAGGCTCTGGAGTTGTCCACGTCTTTATAAAGAGGTCCTTTTTATACTCTGATGTCTCTTCTCGAGGGTTTTTTTTTCTTTGTTTGTCGTTTCTTGATCGAATTGCGAGCATTTACACATTTAAACAATTTTGCAATTCGCTTTCGATAACAAAGGAATTAATTAAATTATTATGTAATAATATCAAAATTTCAAAATAAAACTTAAACATTTGCATACATATACACATGTATATGCATTGTTGTCGATATATATCGATAATTTTGTTGTTGCTTGCGGTTCTCTGTTTGTTGTTGTTGGTTGTTATTGTTATTGTTGTTTTTGTTTTGTTTTCGTTATTAGTGATATTGTTTTATGCTTACATTCAAATTATGTATTTACGCTGCCTTTTTTGTTTTTTGTTTGCATTATATAGTTGTATTATGTATTATGTTTATGTTGCTCTTCATCTTGCTTGTTTTTGTATTCAATAGCGTTCAATTAATTTATTAGTCGGTGTTGTTGTTCTCGTTTGCTTGAATTGAGTACGTTTTAATGCAAAATGATTGCAGCTTTATGTTTTATTGATTGAAACGATTAAAAAATGTTTATGCGTGTTTTTTTTTTTTTAAGTTTTGCCATTCGTTAATTCATTTGATTGTTTATTAAGTTATGAATGCTGCTACAAAAACAACGAATGCCTTTGTATTTTATTATTAATTGTAATTGTTGTTATAGTTGCTTGTGTCGGGATCTGTTTGCCGCTGTTGTTGTTGGTGTTGTAGTGTTTGTTTTAAAATTTCCATTAAAATTATAATAGTTCATATTACTATATGGTTGCTGTTGCTCTTGGTGTTGCTGTTGTTGTTGTTGTTGCCTATGCTATAGGGAACCAGCCGGAAAACTTGTTGAACTATTGCTATGCGCTAAACTAATCATGGATCCAGACAAACTGCCCTCTTCATCTGGGTAGGTTTCGCGTGATACCTCCGTCAGTGATAAAGTGCTGTAATATACAAATACATATGTATATATATATATATATATATATATATATATATATATTTATTTCTATATATGTATAACTCTGAATAGGTGTTTGTGTTGATTCATACCTGAAACCTAAGGCAATCGATTCATTATCAAAAGCTTCCAATTCTTTAGCATGTTTCTCGTGTTTCATGCGCAACCGTTCGGCACGTTCCAAATTGAATTGCTGCAATTCGGCATCCATCTAAATAAGCAGATGTACGATATATTGTAAGATATTACCAAAATAATAAAATAATATATATTATAACAACAATAATAATAATAATAATTGTAATTGAATATTAACCTTATTCTCCAATAAATTACGCCGTACGCTGACGCGACTCTCGAGCTCGCGACGCTCCCGATCACGCTGCTCCTGCGCCTGCTTCTTGTTCTTGTTCTGATAGGCTTTGAGCATATCCAGTTCGTATTCCAATTGCTCATTGGTACGTTGGCACTCGATCACTTGACTCTCGTCCAGTTTATAACTTTGACTTTGGAACATGTCTGCAATGCTTTGCTCATACTGCAAATCAAATTCAAAATCGATATGGATATATGTGTATCTATATCTATGTCGGTTTACACTCACCTGTTCACCCAGCAGCGTGAGCTTGCGATGCTTCTCCTCCTTGAGCTGCTTGATGACCTCCTTCTGTTGCTCTTTGGGCGTCGTTTGCAGCACTTGCGCCTTGTAGCGTTTATATTGTTTTGTTTGCGTTTTGCATGTCTCGCGAAACTGTTTGCGTATCAGCAGCTCCTTTTGCTGTAAGTGCCAATATTCGAATTTCAATTACAATTCAAATTCATTCAATCAAAACCGATCGTTCGTCTTTTACCTTCAGGCTCTTGGGCTGTTGTCTTAGCTCGAGGGCATGCTTGCGCTGCAGGTCCTTCTTGATGCGATCCATGTAGTCTTCTTGATTGTGGAACTCCGTGTCGTGCTGCTTGTTTATCTACGGTGGTGAGAGATTAATTAACTGAGTGAAGCACAAATTATATAGCAGTTGATGGCGCCGCCACCCACCTGTTCCTCGCGCAATTGATGCACGCTCTTCTGCTGGCGATACTCCAGCTCCTGTGTCTTTTCGTGGTGTTTTAACAGCATGGCATGGGCCTGTTCCAGCTGCTGTTGCTTCTTGCTCAGCTCCTGTATTGGCGCCAAATCGAGTTTTTTAATTCAATTAGTTACAATTATTTTGGATAATTTTTGGGGGCAACTCACATCACGCAACAGATGATCCTCCAGATCGTGCTGATGCGTCATGCGTCTTCGCTTGAATTTACGCATCTCGAGCTCAATGTATTGCTTCTGAGCCTGCAGCATGCGTTGCTCCTCCTGTGCCTCGTGCTGTTTCAGATTATCCTTTTGCGATTGCAAGGTTAAATCACGCTGTCGCTTTGGCGTTGACTCATCCATTGAGAGTTCGCGTTTCCAGCGCTCCTTGTTCGCTTTGTATTCCTTTTTGCGATTCAAATCGAACACCTTACGATCGCCCTCCTGCTTCAGCGTAATCTCTTTCTGTAGTTTCTTCTCGGCCGTTGTTGTCTGCTTCGAGCGCCGCTCCACATCCTGCTGATGCTTGGCCTGCAATATGGAAAATGAGTATCTGTCTTAATCTTCTTGTTTTCAGTCTGAAGTCTTACCTCGAGGCGCTCCAGTTCTCTGGTAAAGTTATGCAGCAGATTATCATACTCCTTGTCCAGCGCCGACTTGTGCGTCTCCATTTCCACTTTGCACTTCTCCTCGAGCTTCAGCAGCGTCGCCTGGTGCTCCCGTCGCATCCGCTTGTAGCCGGACATTTGTTCGTGCATCTCCTCCTGCATTTTCACAAATTAGCAGGCAAAACACACAAATATTGTACATGGAAAACAAAAGCGCATTTTAGCTACGTGTCTGTGCTATGTATGTGTATGAGGTGCTACAGTAGAAACATTAATAAGAGCAACAACAACAGCACTAACAACAAGCTCAATAATTATAACTTACAACAATTCTGTTAAGCTCCCATTCGTTCTTAACCTCAAAATGAGCAAAATTGAAGCAACGAAAAATCATACTTATTCACAACAGGCTGCGCTGCTAGGCAAATGCATACGATGCAATACAATGAAATAAAAACAAATAAAATATTCAAAGCTAATACAAAAACTTTAACAATGAAAACAAGGAAGAAAAAAATCCAACGTCATAAAACAAAAGATAAAGATAAAATGCCGGCTTCTGCTCTGCATTCCCGCTGCTGTCAGATGACAAATGTCAAGCAAGCCAAGAGAGACAGAGGTACAGAGAGAAATAGAGCGAGAGAGCGGGAGAGTGACAGGGCGAGTGCAGGACAGGTGCGGAATGTGGGAGTAAAGTAGAGTTGAGAGTGGAGTGAAGTGTAGCAAAGAAAGCAAGCAAATAAGAAAGAAAAATAGCAGCATAGAAAACTATTTGAGCAAAGGGGCGCGAGTGTGAGTGAGAAAGTGAGTGTCTTGTGATTGGGCAGGTGCGCTCACTTCTCGAGTGAGGATTTGTGTGTGTGTGTGTGTGTGTGTGATATTTTACTGTTTACTTTGGATGCACTCAATTTGCAAATAAGTCTTTCGTCTGTGGCATCAAGTATATTATATATTTATTGATATCTATATATATTTATTGTCATGGACTCAACCCCCACGCACAGGACACGCACATACAATAATAAATACAAACACGTATATGTATACATACATATGTTTGTAATGTACTATTTTTTGGTTTTTGTTTTTTTTTCTTTTCGTATTTAGTTATTTTAAGAGATCACACAGGGACAATGATTTAAAGTTTGGCATTGCTTTGGACTGCTACTATTTTTAGCCTTGTGGAAGAAGCCGTCATCGTGGCCAGCGAAGAAGTCATCCGCATCCGGCTCGCTGCCTCTGCCGCAGCAGAAGCAAGTGCAACAGCCGCCGCACAGTTGGGAACAGAAGTTATAGCGCGCCTATTTGTTATTTGTTGGAGAGTAGAAATACAAACAATAAACAACAACAGCAACAAACAAATGTTGTACACAGAGAGGGAGAAAGAGAGAGAGAGAGCAAAAGTTAGAACGAAAACGATCGATTTGGAGAACGAGAGAGCGACAGGCAGGAAATGACAGCTGTGACTGTGTGAGTGGTGGGGGTTTGGGGGAGAACTATGACACAATGGGGAGTATTGCTGACAGGACGCAAACATGGTGAAATAATCCACCACACACACACACATACAGTAAAGCACACAGCGACATGAGTGAAATGACTAAGAGGCGAGGTGAGAGTTATAAAAAGCCATCGTTTATCGATAAGGCTTCGATAGTTCAGCCGATCGTTTAATGTGAATGACACGCTGCAACCCTACCCTTTTCAACTAGTGCAACTACAACTACAACTATACACACACACACACACACGCATACACACACGCGCGCGCGCTCATCATAATGAGTTTTTGTTGTTGGTGTCATGTATGCATATATATATGTAGATAGATAGATAGATATCTATATACATGTAATTGCGTATGTATATGTGTATTGCACACACCTGCATATGCTCCTTCTGCTGCTTGGTGACAATGCTTGTCGTTCGGATGGTGGCGAAATTGTTGGGTCCATGATCGTTGACCGCATTGGAGATGGCCTGTTGCGAGGATGCCGAGGTGGCCGCATAGACAGCTTGCTGGGCGGCTGGTGTCGCTAGATAACGTGGCTGAATTCCGGGCATGCGATGATCACCGCCAGCCGGTGAGCCACCGGTGCTGCCACCACCACCTCCAACACCACCAGAAGCACCGCCTCCGCCTCCTGCTCCCAGAGAGACACCCAGGTGCGGCAACACCGATAGCGGTGGCGCTGGCGCCGGCACCACCGATGCCGAATTCGTGGGCGTCACATTGTTATTCATGGAGTGCATTATATTTGGCAACGGTGGCAGATTGCGATGACGCGACGAATTGCGCGATACAGCGCCACATCCAGCACCGGATGATGAATTCTGCTGCTGTTGTTGTTGCTGCAGTTGTTGTTGCTGTTGCTGCTGCTGCTGGGGTCCAGTTGACCAATTGCTGAGATGCTGCTTCTGCAGCTCCAGCTGATGGTGCATGGCGGCTGCAACAGCGGCCACCTGCTGATGATAATGCGCCCCGATATGGTGGTGATTCTGCGCCGCAGCCGCAGGTATTGAATTCGACGAGGAGCTCTGCGAATCAGAAACGAATCAGAAATGTTGAGGTGAATAAGTCATCTCCAATCTGCAAATTCACCTGACTACTGGCCGCCGAGACACCCACGGAGTGTATGGAGTGTTCGGAAGTAATACTATTGCTCTTGCTGCTATCGCCGCCGGCATGATCGTCCTGCTGGTCATCGGTGTCGCCAATGGCGCTTTCTGTTTCGCATGTGTCGACCATAAGTATCTTCTTCATTTTGCGATAGTTGAGGTTGTCCAGTTCGCGCACCGCCGACTTTGTGCGCGCGATCAGCTCCAGCAGCACCGTCTCGGAGCGCGGACGCGTCACATACGAGTGCTGCAGCAGTTTAGCCGATGAGGGTCGCTCCGCGGGCATCTTTTTCAGGCAGAGCTCCACGAAATTGCAAAACGTGTCCGACCAGTCATTTTTCTGCCAAAGCAAAAAAAAAAACAGAAGCCAAACAATAAATTATCACATTATGTATATCTCAATAAATCAAAGGGTCAATCGCTAATTATCGATCGATCGATACTTACTGGCAACGTGGGCGACTCGTTCTGGGCAATGTGATACAGTGCGGACATGGCATTCATATTGAAGTATGGGGGCTTACGCTCGGCGAGCTCAATGCAGGTGATGCCCAGAGACCAGACATCCACTTTGCCATCGTACTGGCCCTCGTCCATGGCCAAGATGACCTCGGGCGCCATCCAATACGGTGTGCCCACAAAGCTATTCGCCGGACACTTGATCGCTGCACTACCAAAATCGGCCAATTTCACAACGCCCATATCGGTGAGCAGTATATTGCCGGCCTTAATGTCCCGATGGATGCGACCCAGCGAGTGCAGATAACTCAACCCGCTCAGTACGCCCAAACAGATAGCAGCGATCTCATCCTCGTGCAGCGGCTTCTTGTGCACCTCAATAATATCCGAGGCGGACCCCACGCAATACTCCATCACCAGCCACGCCGTCGACTCTCGCAGATAGCAGCCCTTGTACTCAATTGTGTTCGGGTTATTCAATTGACATAGAAAGCTGCAAGTGAATTGAATAATTGAATAAGTGAATGACAAAAACAATAACAATAAAAATAATAATAATAATAATATATGATAAATATAATTACCGTATCTCCTTGAGTATGTCCTGCCATTTGTCTTGGCTCTGCTTGCCCGTGTAGGACATCTTCTTGATTGCGACAATCTCCTTGTTGAGATTGCAGCGTGCATAGTAGACGGCACCGAACGACCCATGGCCAATTTCACGCAAATCCTCAAAGATCTTTTCTGGATCATGCTTGTTAAATAGATCGGCTATTTCCGGATCTTTGAGACTACCAGGACGTGCCGAAGGCATCTCTGTTATTCATGTTATGCCAAAACACACGCACACCAACAACTCTCTCTCTCTCTCTCTCTCTCTGAGTAGAGCTGACAACTCGTTTCTTTTTTCTTTTCTGTGCTTTTCTTGCTTTGGATTTGTTGTTGTTGATGTTTTTAATTGTAATCTCTGCTTCCTTCTGCTTGCTGCGCACTCTTCTGCAAACGAAATTAATTGAAAGTTACATATGCATATGCATGTGTGTGCGTGTGGGAGAGCACAAAACTATATATGCCTATAATGTACGTATATATGTGTGTTTCGTGATAAAAGGAGTCACAGAGTTCTTTTGCCGCATTCAAATCGATCAAATGATTCACACTCGTTCTTCGTTCATTTAGCGCCTGCTTCACATGTATAGACGCAAGCACTCACTCATACACACACAAACACACACACTCACTCACACACGCATATCCGCACTCATATCTCATTTAGTTTGTTATGCGACAAGAAGCCGCTTATCAAAAGTATATTATTTTTATTTTTACATTTTTGGCACTCAGATTTGAGCAAATAACGGTGTATCATCCAGCTACGCACTTTTTAATTGAAATGCCGAAGAGTTTTCGCACTTAACATAATAACATAACATAATCCGACATTCTTCCTAATTCAAATTACACATATGTTCTAGATTAGGTGCAAGGTGAACAGACCGAGAGAGAGCAACACACGTGCATATCTGTCATATATATATACACACACACAAACATATATATATATATAGCAGTGTGGCTTTGGTTAATTCATAATAGACATGGATATGGAAGTAAAAGCGGTACTTATTTATTGCCCAGCGCCGTACGCAGGCCAACAAAAAAACACAAAAAAAAGGGTTGCAGCAGTTTGCATTTTTTTCTTGCCACTGTTGCGGCAAAATTCATGCGATTCGTTTGAATGAAACGATTTGTTAAGATTTTTAGAATCGTGCTAATTGTTTAAACTATGTGTTTGACTTGTTTGGACTTTTTTTTGTTTAATAGCGAATCGGCAACACGCCTATTTTTTCATATACACACAAACACACACATATACAGAGAGTCAGCCATGTCTCGGTCATACACACATGTCTGTATGTCTAAATAAGCGTATGCATGTGTGTGTGTGTGCAGTGTCGGTTGTTTTGCATTCGACCCGTCTTTTTGTCTCTTTCACTCTTCGCTTTTCCGTTTAAAGCTTAAAAGCAGCGTTTAATGCAGCTTTGTTTGTCGATCCTTTTTATTTTAATTTGATGGCTTTTTGTTCTTTGGTGCATGTGTCTCAATTTTCCGATGAACTATTTGATTAAAATTTTGTTTATTTGCTTGGATCTATTTTTTTAATTTTTTTTTTTTTTGGGTGCGGACAAACAAATACAAAAAGCAAATCGCACGACGCGTCGACGTCGTCATCGACTGCGACGTCGCTGTTAACAGCCAATGTTTTTGTTGTTGCTGCTGTTGTTGTGCTTGTTGTTCTTGCTGTTTTTTTTTTACTGCGATGTTGCTTGCAATTTGAAACAGCAAATTCTCTTTTTTACAGAATCTATAACGTTTACCACACTTGAATAGTCTTCGTTCTATAAAATTGTAAATTGTTTTGCTTGCACATTGCACAGACAAACACACACACATATACATACATACATATATATATATATATATATATATATGTATATATATTTAGACGTACACCGACGACAGCAGTTACATAGACAGACAGCTATGGTGCGTGCTCTTTCACACCCGCACAAAAGGCACTCACACAAACACACACACACTTACTTGTGTCGCCTGCCAGCGCAAAATGCATTTAGAAAATATGATAAAAGTATGGAAAGTTGTGTTTTCCTTACATTATTGCGGCTTACTTTTGCAATGGAACTCTTTTTGCTAATTATTCAACACGGCTGAGGCATTTTCTGTTCTGCATGCGTCGTTTTTCTTTCACGTCAGATCGGCCTCTGACTCTGCTGCTTCTGCTGCGCTGCTTTTGCTACTGCTGCTTGCCTGCTGGTATTGTTTGCTTTGCTATTTTTCGCCCTGCACTGCACACGCGTTCCGTCGTTTTACATATTTGCACTCGCAATGCATTCCGATTAAAGCACGAACGCAATATGTTCAATTAAATTTGCTTTGCACATATCATTTAGTTTTCCAATTTTTCCTTCAATTAATTTGTATGAGTTACGTATATATATGTATAGGCATATATATGTATTTGTGCCAGTGTTGGACAATTCCGATTTGTCAGCATTTTTTTGCAACAAGTTGGCAGCCCATAATGCTGAAAAATATTGTAAAAATACCAAGTATGTTATTAGCAGAAAGTATAAGGATAACATCTGTTGCTTACATCTGTTACGATTAGCAGTTGGTCTATGTTATAATTCGAATTTTATTTGTTCTTGTATCGAAAATGCCAAAAAAAAACGATCATGTTTCTGCGAAAAGTATTTGCCATTTACCTTTTCACAGCACTAATTGCAAGAAAAAAAACCTGAGCTTAAAATGTTGATCTGCCGGAACTAATGTACACATCTATATATGCGATAAAGGGAGGCATTTTTAATGAAAATCGAGGCAAAAGCAAGCAATAAATGTTACAACAAAAGCATTCATACCAATAACGTGTTGGGGAGAATGTACCTTACTCACTCACACTCACACACACGACAACAAGCAACGCGAGAGAATGTTGGAATTGAGCGCCAAAGAGAAGTGATGGCGATATGGAGAGCAGAAGAAGAAGAAGATAGGCACGTAGCGCACAACAAAAGCGTCGTCGTCGTCGCCATCGGCGCAAGGTAGATTGTGGCCCCCAATCATTTTTTTAGTATTTAAAGAACACTCGGGCAAGCAAGTGAAAGCCGCTGCGAGAGGCGACAGCCACAGTGAATAAGGCAACAGTTTAAAGTAAATAAGCACTACATATTTTTACATATATATACATTATATATATATATATATTTAAATAAAAATATATATACATCTACAATTAAGTGTGTATGTGTTATGAATCGTTCAATTGTCAAAATTCGCATTAAATCAGCAACTGAATTGCATTTGTCATGAGGCTTCGGCAGTTTTGTTTTGTGCTCTTGATTTTTACTTCTTTTTTTTTGTCTGTGTCTGTGAGCAAATTGTTGACAGTGTTATACACACGTATGTGTGTGTGTCTATGAGTTAGGTGTTTGTTGCTACGTACGAAGAAATGCCAAAGTATAAACATGATAAAAGCGAAATATGCGTGAAATAAAATCAAGGGATAAGAAACAATCATCTAAACATGCTCACATACTTAAAAATATTTATGTATATATATATATATATATATATGCTTGGGAGTGTGTATGTGCTTACAGCAACTACAAATGTTGGCTGCCCTAAATAAATTAATATGCGTACAAATGAACATCTTGTTATGTTCACACATTCACACAGCACACACATACACACACACACAGGCACTTGTGTATGTGTTTAGTTTGCATTAGCGCAGCACGCGCGCGCGCATATTGTGCGCTGGCGCGCTTTGCCGATGCTGCGATCGTTGTCTCAATTTCAGTTGCTGTAAATTGACCACAGTGGGAACAGTAAGCTAGTTGCCCCATGGGGAATGTGGCAGCAAGTGCTTCCGCTGCTGCTGCTGTTTTCAATTTATGATTTCATTGTTCGGCACATTGAGAGCAATCAAAACGCAATGTGTACTCTTAATAGAAAAGTCGCAACCACAATTACAATTTTCCCTCTGCCCCGCATAAAGTTGCCTCTTAGCTGTTGCTGTTGTTATTGTTGCATTGCTGGAGCTTCGCAGCTGTCGACAGTGCACTCATACACACACACACACACACACACACACACACACATGCATACTCACGCAAACATACAAGCTCATATTTCGATGAGAATATGTTTATCGATTGACTATTTAAAAAGATGAGCCGCGTTTTAAATAGTTTTTAAGGCATCTGTGCCGATATCGTTTGTGAGTGTGAGTGCGATTTATTTATTGGCATATTTATGCAACAATTTGTTAACCATAAATGGCAACAGTCAGTCAATAGGCACCCGTCCCACACACACACACAAACTCACTCAAATATTTTTGCTCTTATTAATTTTTAGTTTAGTTTTGTGTCTTTTTCTTTTTTAATATTGATCAATTTTGTTGCTACACGAAAATCAATCGCAAACTAAGCTGAAAGCTATAAGTGGCATACACTCGCATATACATATTTATATATATATCGCGCATACACTGAGCGAAACAATGCTACAGCACATGCATAAAAATGCAACATTAAATTGTCTTAGCTTTTGCATCTCTTTTTATATCTCTATTTGATTTACACGCACTTTTTCTTCAAGTGCATGCGATCAGAGTGGCTTGTGAACACATTTTTTTTGTTGTGTATTGCGTTAATTTATTCTAATTTAGCAAGGTGCTCGAAACGCCTTGGCGCCAATTTGCTTTGATGTAGACAACACATACAACACACCCACACACACGCATACACACACACCTGCCCACCCACCTGTGTATGTGTTTTTTTTTTTAGTTAATGCGGAAGTCGTATTTTCAATGTCTTTTGGATTCTCCAGACTTTCCCTTTCACTGCAACTGCCAATTGGAAATTGGCAACTGCCAATTGCCAATTAGGAGTATTAGCAGAGAAGGGTGCAGATATCGATCTACCAATAATATTATCGCAGAAATACCCC